ACGTAAGGAATGCGCAACGACAGTGTTGTCAGCGAAGCGTCCACGTGCAAACGTGACAGTACTTACGAGCAAGAACGTTCACGGTGTCAGGAAAGCCGCAGGCCTGACGAGGGGCCGAGGCGGCCGCGCCACTGACGCCGGGCGCAGAATCCAGGGCGCAGCCACCAGGCTCCGCGGAGGGGGCTGAGCTCACCTCTCGCTGCGGCCGCCGCGCCGCCCTGCGTAAGCAGCGGCCTGGGATTTGTCTGGCGACAGCTTCCGAGCATGTGTTAAGCATTATTTGTCATGGAACTTTGTGTAATAATTTGTTTATTTTTTCATTAAGTGATCACCGGGACGTTTGCCAGTTGGGATGGTTCTTTGGCTACTTCCTCCTCCCTTTTCCTCTTAAAGTCATTCCGTCAGAACTGTCTTAAAGTTCAGCCCCAAAACACACAGCACCTCCCTGTCCCCCACCCCCACCTATAGTGACATAAAAAAAGAAAAATAACCATTTTTCAAAGTTTTGTTGAGCATGGAATTTATATAGAAAATGTAATTAGAAACAAAATTTTAAGAGTCTGCTGTGGGTCTGTACATTGTTCGCAAGGGACACGCGCTCAGCTTCCTGGGCTCGCCCTGGACGAGCTACCTCTCCGCGGTCTTCACGGCGCGGGCCGCGCGGGCGCCGGCGACCTCAGACACGCCCGTGGCCACCACTTCCCCTACGGGAAGGAACACGCTCATTTACTAGACGACGGGAGAGGACAAGTGCACGCACAGCCTACGCCAGTCTCCCCCGCACTGTGTTCTGCGAAACACTAACGCCCCACAACTCGCAACCGACACTTTGTATACAAAACAGTCCTGCCGGGTCCTGGCGGGGGGCAGGAGGTCTCGGAGAACGTGGAGACCGCTGAGAAAAGCCGCGCACCGCAGGGCGGGGGGCGGGCCGCGCACAGGAAGGACGCTGTCCGTTGCGGGGCAGTCACGCTGAAGGCCGCAGGGGTCCGCGCCGTGCAAAGGCTGACAAACCGGGCGGAGGGAGCAGGAGACGAGCAGACACGCAGCGCGCGCCACCAGCTGGAGTCCAGTGACGCTGCGGGGCTGCCAGCGGCCCCTCCTGGCTTCTGTCCAAGATGGCCCAGCGCGCCGCCCCGCCCACCCGCGTTCTCCGTCTCAGCCCCGGGGCGGAGGGGGCTCCAGGGCGCGTGGGGCGGGACACTGGCCTGCAGCTCCCGCTCGTCCGGCCCTGCCCAGCTCACCACTGGCCTTCGCCGCGCACACCCAGGGTGGCAGGGCCTCAGCAGGCAGCCCGCCACGCGGCCCGCCCGTGCAAACCGCAACGGCGCTGCCGGGCCAAGCCACTCGGGAACGGCCCCTGCTCGCGACCTCTGCAAACGGCTCCTTCCCGCCGAGGACGCAGCCGCTCTGTCCTGCGCTCCCGCTCGAAAGCCGCGGCAAACCTCGCCGTGCCCGCCTCGTGCTCTCCCGGGCGCCGCACAGGCTGCGGCTGCCCGGCGGGGCCGTCCGCTCCTGCTCAGCCCGGCGCGGGTGGTCCGCGCCGCCGTCCACCTCAGCCCCCCCAGGTGGGCGCGGGCCCAGGCACAGCGACCCCTGCCGGCCGCCCCGCCGGGACCGGAGCGTCGTTGTGGTGACGCGCACGCTCGGACAACGTTGTGCGTCCTCGACGACAGGGCAGCCTGGGGACGTCAACGCGCCCGCCGCGCGGCGGGTCTCGTGAGACGCCGGCCCCTCCGCGCCTGCGCAGGCCGCGGGAGGACGGGGCGACCCAGCCTCCCACTGAAACAAGCGCCGGATCTTGGACAGCGCGGCCCGAACACTCACACTAGACACGGGAGGAGGAGAAATAAAAAGCCACCGCTTGGTTTGCACGCTTTATTGGGCCCCCTTATCACACACACACACATCCCACTGCGCCTCGACGGGGCATCCGACACCTCGGTTCACAGCGCGGCGTCTGGCGGCCCAGGGACACGGGGACCCGCAAGGGGAAGGTGCGCTGCTCCTTGGCACGGAAACAACTTTAAAGACTTGACTGGAAACCAGACTTGGGGTTTCGGGAAAGCCCTTCTGGGCATGGGACACGTGACACTTAGGGGCCCCCGGGGTTATGAAAGTCAATGCGCCGGGACCAGAACGCAGAGCCCGCACCACGGACGCCCCTGACAGCACCTGCGGAAGGGGCTGCCCAGGGACAGGGACGGAGGGGAGCCGCCAGCGGAGGGGACACAGGCGCACGCTGAGCCTCCCGCTGGCGGATCCCGACGGGGAGCGACCGGGAGGGAGGAGTCAGGCGGGGGAAAGCCCTGGCCCGGCCCCGGCCCACGCCGCCGGCCAGAGGCAGCTGCGGGCAGCAGAGGGGCCGTGAGTTTTAAGACCTTCTGGAAGGAATGCCCCCGAGGAGCCCCGCCAGCACCGCCCTGGCGTCAGGCCACCTGCCGGAGGATCCCACCTGGGACGCCCAGGTCTGCGGCCACCGTTGGCTGGAACGAACAGCTCCAGAGGGGAACGGAAGAATGAACAACTCCAGTTTCAGTTTTTCTTTTTATCCAGAATGCGACTGATTTTCAGCACACAAAGTAGTGTAACAACATAAGCTCTTCTCTGCAAAAAGATTAATGGTCATTAAGGCAAATAAGATGCAATGCCTCCCTTTGCCTTGAAGCACGAACACTACACGGGTCGGGGGAGGGGGGCAGGGGAGGAGACACGCGTGCCCTGCAAACAGCCCCCGGCTGCCCGCGGACGCCCGCGGACACCCGCGGCGCGCTCTCCGGTGGGAAACGCCCCGCAGGCAGCCACTCGGTGAGTGTCCCGGGAATCCCAGCACTCGGGGGCCACGGACACATCTCTAAAAAGCACAGGCAGCAGATTTGCAACATTAATCCTCCTAAGAGCAGGACAAGCAACCGCAGAAGAGCCGAGCTGTGGGGAAGGAATAAAACTTCTCGCCAGGAGAAGAAAGGTTGCGTAAACTGCGACTCTCACCTTCGGCCCGCCACCTCGACCACCTACCAAATATAAAACTTCCTGAACACTCGCTGGTTTAAAGATACACTTTTTGATAGGAAATAAAAGCAGTTTAAGTTGTTTTGCCTCCTTTTTAAATATCGCTAGTACTTGTTGACTGTCCACCAGGGTGTGAACCTATTGCTCATTGTGCACGTTAAACAAGGGTCAAAAACACACAGGTGACAGACATGGTGCACCCCCGGTGTCCGGTGAGAAGGGGCCAACCCTGAACCAGGAAAACCGAACCTTTCAGCTCCTGGGGACTCGGGGAACCGCAACACCCACCAACCCCTGCGGCGGAGAGACGGCAGCCTAGCCGCGCGGCTCAGCCGGGTCTCCAGGCGGAGACAGCCCCGCGTCAGGCCGGCGGGAACGGTGACCCCCAGGCAGAGGGCGCTCCCGGCACCCGGAGAAGCGGCACGGCCGGGCCGCCCTGTGTGTGGCCACACCTGACGAGAAACACACCACTCACGTCCGAGGGTGCGAGCAACAGGAGCGAAGGAGCCTGATGTTAGACCCGGGCCGGGGTCCAGGGAGGGTCTGGCTCTCCCTGCCAGGTCGCGGCTCCGTATCCGATGTCCCATCGGGGAAAGTGCACGTGAGTCGTTACACACACACACACACACACACACACACACACACACACACAGGCGAACCAAGGACACTGTGGACTTTTTACTCTGTGACTCAAGTTATCCCAGAAAAAGACAGAGGCGCAGGCAACTGTCACCTGGGAAGCTTCCGCCCAAATGAGCATCCCTGTTTTCCGGGAAACCCAAGGCACTCGCTCGACCCGCGGGCACCGGCGCAGGCGGCCGGGGCCGCGCCCTCACAGCTGCGGGTCCCCGCCCAGCACGACGCGAGGGGCCGGCTCCCGGGCGCCGCACTCCTTCACCCGGAAACACGCTGTTCTAACTGCTCTCAGTCACTGTGGTGCTGATCTCCATTAAATTCAAAAAGGGAAAAAGTCACACCGACAGCAATGTGACTGGCAGAAGGCAGGCCAGGCGTAACCAAGTCGAAACCGAGGTGCCAGAGGGAAACGATGCCCAAGTGCCGGCAGCCCGCGTCCCACCAGCCCCGAGCCCGGGAAGCTGGGAGCTTGCGTGAGGAAGGCGCCGGCGGGCGGGGGACGGGTTCCTTACGACCAACCTGCCCGAAGAGAGATGGAAACGCAGCCACCTGGGCCCGAACGCCGCCTCGAACCCCTGCCACGACCACCAGCCGCCCACGAGGAGGACAGCAGGGCCGCGGCTCCTCTTCCTCCGGGCGAGGGCCGCCTCCCGACGGCGGCGGCGGGGCTAGGACAGCGCTGCTTGCCGGCCGCCCCCATCTCTCCAGATGACCAGCCACACCGATCCTGGAGGGGAACCAACCGCTCCATGGCACCATGAACAATGAAGAGGAAACCGGGGGGAGGGGAGGAAGTACAGACACTGACTTAGGAAAAGAAAAACTACCTGAGATTAAATTTTCCCAGAAGGGTAGGGGTCAAGTGTCATGACCCCTCACCTTTTTACCCAACTCTCAAAAATTTCTAGGTTTTTAATAACTTCGAAGGATCTAAATCTGTGTATATATTTCATCCTAAAAGAATCATGAAAATTGCATCTTTGACAATATTTGGTTGAAGTTTAAGAAAGATAGTAAGATTAAACATCTGACAATATGAGAAGGTAAAGGGAGAATCTACAAATATCTTTGGTAGTAATAGGCTAAGAATTAGGAAATAAAATAATTTAAATCACAGGAGGCATCTTTTTTCAACTCTGTGGCTTTAATATAAAATATTTAATTCAATAAATGGTTACTTAGGCTCATCAAGTATTCCCTCAGCTCCCTTAAAATCTAGTTAGCATCTTCTGCAATAAAGTTCTACAGTGTTAGACACCACATATAGGCACGAATACGAAGCACACAGGAGACAAGGGACGCTTGTGACCCGGCGCCCACTGGGACGCCCAGCCCGGAGGCCCGCGGCCGCTATCTAAGGGCCTGGGCGGCGGCGGCGGCAGGGGAGCAGGAGGCGCCTGCGCGCGCCTAGGACACCTGCCCTCCCAAGGAACCATGCGTGCTGCAGGTTCACCAGGACCCACGGGAGGCCTGGCAGCGAATCGCCGTGGACATGGCCGCCCCCCTCCCCAACACCTGTTCTGGGGGACCTGGGCCCCGGCCACCCTAGCCACACCCTCGTGCACGAGCGGCCAATCAGCCGGCCACCAGCCTCTGCGAGGGCCTGCGAGGGCCCGCAAGGGCCCGCGTGAGCCGCCGCAGCCCTGCCTCCGAAGGGCAGGGACTGGAAGTTCCCATGTCACGCACCCCGGGACCAGGCCACCGGCCTTTGGCAAGTCACACACCAGCCTCCATACACCACCCTGCTTCCTAGCAAACATCGAGGAAGAGCCCGAAAGAGCCAGGAGGCTATGGGGAGCCAACGCGCCCGTCGGTCCTGCAGGGCAGAGTGACAGGGCTCCCCCTCTCGTGGGCGGGTTCTATCTGGGCTCTCGGGGACCAGCACGGCCCACACAGGAGGCTTCCATCAGGGAAGGAGATAAAAGTTGGCTTCCTTGGAAAAAAGCAAATAAATAGCAATTTCACTTAGGTAAGGAAACAAGGACGAATCCATACTGCGTCCTCTTTTTCTGTAGAGTCAGTGCTTCATCAAGGTTTCGACTCCCACCCTGACAGTCCCCGTGCAGTGGGAGGAGCAGGACCCCGCCCGGCACCCTCTCCCGGGGGCTGCCCCTGCTGCCACGCTCTCCTGCACAGCTGCACCCTTCCTAGCTCCCCGCCTGCCCAACAAGGCCGCGCAGGACGCGGCCCCTCCAGCTCCATCCTCGGCGAAGGCAGGACTGGGCCGAGGCTGGGGGCCGGGCGGGGAGGGAAAGGCGCAGAACAGGAGAAATCTGGGTCGCCCGCTGTCTGTCTGCGGTTTTTCTTTTCCCTTCACCTGACAAGTGCCTCCTTCTTTTCCGGACCCCTCGGCTTTCGGCGGCAGGGGGCAGAACTGCGCCGCGAGACAGCCAACAGCGACCACAGCACACTCAGCAGGACGGTGAGCTCACCACACAGGCCTCACGCAGGCGGAAGACGGGGACAAGCCGCGGGACCCGACCACCGGGCTCTGTGCGGTCCGACGGGGCCCGGCCCAGACTCCCGGCCTGAGCCTCTCAGCCAAAAGCTCGCTTCTCGCCCACTCTGTCAGACGGGCCGGTTCTCAGAAGACTCGCGCCCTCGCTCGGGCAGGCGGGACAGCGGCAGGGACGGGGGCGCGCCGAGCGCTCGCAGGACTCGCAGCAAAGGGACCCGCCTGGGTTCCTGACTCACACCTGCACTCGCGCCGGCAAGCACAGCGACAGCAAGTTGTGCAACATCAAGCATCAGCTTCCTGCCTACAGAGCCTTAACACACACACGGAGACAGGCTCACTGCAGTTTCTTTAAAGGGACGCTCGGCACCACGGGACTCCCTGACGCATCCGAGACGCAGTGCGGGACGCGGGCGACCCCTCCCCGACAGGGGCCGGCCGCCCAGCCTCAGGAGCAAGTGCCGGACACTCCGGAGGGCCGCCCCGCCCGCCGCCAGGGACCCGCAGGGCGGCGGCCAGGCCCCGTCCTGCCCGTGCCCGGGTCGGCAGGGCAGCCTGTGCCAGAGCAGCGGCTGCGCCTGCACAGGCGGAACAAGAGTGGAAGTGCTGCGCCGCGCGAGGAGCACGGTAACCCCGGGGTGGAGAGGAGGAGGGGCGTGCGTCCCGAGGTCGCTGGCTAAAGCAGGGTCTGGTACAGGTAGCCCCTCCTATAGGCGCTCAGCGGGTAGAACGTCGCCACCACAAACTTCCCGTCAAACATCCTTCCCGTCAGCAGCTTCTGAGCAGCTTTGGAGTCGCCGGCATTCGCGTACTCGACAAAAACCTGCAGGGGAGAGAAGACGGTGACTCCGCTTCGTCCGGCCACGCTGGCACCACGATGCCTCACGCGCACGCCTACACGCATGTCTAACCGTGGGACAGGCGCAGGGGAAACAGGGACGCTGCACGGCCACGTCGGGAGTGCGCAAGGTGCCACGGGCCGGCCCGGGAGGCCGCCGTCCCGACGGGGTTGCGGCCGTCCGCCCTGCCGCGCAGGCAGGGAGCAACGAGACGGCGGCTGGGGGAGGCACGGCCACCAGGACAGGCGGTCCAGGGCGGCGGGGGGTGGGGGACGAGCAGTCAGGACAGAGCCAGGCAGCCGCGGCACGGGGGCTGCCGCCGCTGCCGGGACAGGGACCGCCGGTGCCCGCGGAGCAGGGCGCACCGGCCTGAGGGCCTGGTGTCCCCCCCCGGAGGCTCGTTTCGGGGCTGGGACCCCATCCTGGCCCGAAGGCCTTGCTCTGGCGCTGAGACGATGGCAGGCGGGACCCGTGCCCAGCTCGCCCACGCACGGCAGGCTGAAGCGGCTTCCCAGAGTGGGGACAGGCGGGCGCCACGCAGCCACAGAAGGCTTTCTCTGAGGGGCAGCAGCCCTTGTTCGCTAAGGAGCGTCCTTGTCCAGGGTGTCGGTCCCCAGCAGTGGCCCCCGAGGGCCCTCCAGCCACACGTGAGGGGGGGCGGCGCCCTCAGAGTCCGCACGCCTGGGGGCCCAGTGCGGATGCGGGTCCGGGGATGAAGAACTGAGGTGCCGTCACGGGGGAGCGGCCACCCCGCCCCACAGGCCTGTCACAAGAACACGAAGCCTCCAGAACGAAACCGTCGCGGCCCCTAGCACCGTGCACCGCCTCCTTCTGCAGAACTGCGACGCCGAGCAGCCGCCTCCGCCACCTGTGCACACCTGCGGCGCGCGGGGACCCACTCACCTGTCCTCGGCCAGGGCTCTCCTTGGGGACCAGCAGAGACACCACGGGCCCGAACTTCTGACACTCCTCCCTCACGTCCTCCACGGCATCTGCGGACCCAAACACAGACGCGCCGCTCGCGGGGACCCACGCGACCCACGGTCGGAGCGGGGCGTCGCCGGGGGCTCAGCCTCCGCTCGGAGGGGTCACTGCCCACGCCTTTAAAATCAGGCTCACACGTAACATGAATGCAACACGTTTTAAGTTTCCTTTTTCTGCTTTCACACTTCAAATAGCTATTACACCCAGACGATTCAAAATCCAAAGTCTAAAACCAGTGTGATGCTTTGAGACCTTATAATATCGTTATATGAAATCTCTCAGGTTTTCAACAGCTGTGGCAGTTCACGCTACAAGGGGCTGAGCGAGTCTGCCTCCTACAGCTGAACAACGAAGCCCCCCACGCCCTGCGCCGGGATGCACAGCGGCGCAGCACAGGGGCCTGGGCGGGCCTCCTCTCCCACGCGGGCCCCCACCTGCTGCTCCCAGGGGCCTGTCCCTGACCCGAGCTGTGACGCTTTCCTCCTCGACTGTGACTTGTCTTTCAGTCGTTCTCACGGTGGTTCTGTCACGTAAAATTGGTCGAGTGACCGTCTTACTGCTTCTGAGATGTGTGGGAATCTTGTAAGACACTCTCCCGGCCCCAGGAGTGTTATTTTTGGAAACCCCCGTGACTTTCTTAAGTTGATTTTTTCTTTATTCCCTCCTGTCTCCCCTCCCCCTTTTCTCCTGTCCCCGTTTTATTCTCTCCCTGCCTTCGTTTTTCATTTTGTTTTGTTCTAGTGTCTTAGTCTTCACTTGACTGAGAATTTATTTGGGTCCAGAGGAGAAGATTCGAATCTCAGTTCCTTCCCTGCCCGAGTACAGGAGAGCCACCCCCAGACACGGTTCCTACCGCGGCCCACCCAGCTGACCACACGGAATTCGACAGTGACCTTCCGGTCAGAAGACGGGCCTTCCCGTGAGACCCTCTAACACCAAGATTGAATGGCTACATGTGAACAACATTCAAACACCCAGAGTGTATTTCGGAGCAAAAGAAAAGTGTCCCACAGCAAGACAGGAAGCAGGGAGCAGCAGACTCCCCGGGGTTTGTCCGAGCGCCCAGGCCTGCACTGTGCCCAAGTGAGCGCGACCAGGAGCCAAGCCGCGGCGCCGCGGCGGCCGGGTTGCAGCCACAGGCACGGCCAGTTTTCCGGTGAAGAGGATCCCAAAGGGTGGAGGCTGCGGGTGCTCAGAACCGTCACAGAGGCAAAGAAAGGGTCTCGTCTCATTTACCAGATAACCAGGCAGAGCCCAGGGACGTGAAGCAACTAGCACTTACAAAAAACAGGGCGGTCAAGTCAGCGCTGTCTGGAGCGGTCTGACTGCCCACGAAGCAAGGCCGGCCCCTAAGCGGGCGGCATGTCTCAGCTCAGTCCTAGTTAGTCACTCACCGCCCTCGGGCTTCCAGAACGCTCACGCACGCACAAGTCTGACGCTATCGCTCTCCTACTCGGCATCTGCGGCGGCTCCCTGTTGCGCTGACGCAGGACGGAGTGTCCCCGACGTTCCAGCGCGGCTGCCTCTGGACAGAGCCCGACCGCTGGCCGCGCCGGCCTGACTGCTCCCCCACGCCGGCCCTGCGGAGCCGCCGCTCGACCAGCCGCTGCTCTGGGAGCGCCGCGCCGGCCGCTCCCAGGCCCCCGCCGCCCCCGCCCCAGCCTGGGACCGAGGCCTCAGGCGCTGCCCTGCCAGACGCCCGTCGCCCCGCCCTTCGACTGCCCGCAACGGATGTGCCGCATCGGGACACAGGGCTGGGCCCCGTGACCTCGGGGGCGCGACCGGAGGTCCCAGAGGCCACCCTCATGGCGGGCGGGTCCGGGGACAGGCCGCGGCACCGACCTTCGTAGCCCTCCTCGCTCTCCAGGTGGGCGCCATCCAGCACGTTCAGCAGCCGCAGCACCGGGGTGGGGAGCGTCACCAGGTCTTCCACGTGAGGGGCTGCTGGGTTCACGAGGACGCTGTTAGGGGCCGGCCCCCACAAACGGGCGCAGGCCCGGTGGGGAGCCCGGGGCCGCACGCCACTCACCGAACGGGACGCTGAAGAAGGGGCTGCAGAGCGCGGCCTCGGCGGGGATCCTCCTGCGCGGGTCGTCGTGGAGCATGCTGCGCACAAGCGGGGCTGCGTGACGGCCCGGCCTCGCCAGGCCGCCGCCGCCGAGCGCTCACGGCCGCGCCCATGGCGCTCGCGGGGCTCCCCGGTCACTTACCTGTCGGAACAGGGGTGCCGTTTACAATCAGACGGACCGGGACACAAACCCAGGACGCGGCCCTGTGCTTCCATTTAAGATGCGTCTGATTGATAAGCGCCACCCCGGAAAGCGACCCGCATTCCACAACGTCTTGTGACCGTCCCCACGGACAGGTAGAGCGAGCCGACCTGGGAAAGAGGCTGAGACCCCAGGGGCCCCCGGCCCCCGCCCCCAGGCGAAGCTGGGGGCCTCCGTGAGGTCCGATGGGGCGGGGCCATCCAGGCTCCAGGGCCTTTTTTGTTTTTAATACTGATTTTAGACACAGAGGGAGAGACAGAGAAACAAGATCTGTTGTTCCACGTATCAACGCATCACTGGTTGATCTTGCATGTGCCCTGACGGGGGATCCAACCCACAACCTTGGTATCGGGACGACGCTTGTACCACCTGAGCGACACAGCCAGGGCCGGCTCTAGGACCCCTTGACGTTAACCCGAGGAAGCTCCCTTCCTGGGCCAAGTCCGGCAGAAGAAAGAAACCTTGGGACTAGAAGCCACAGAAAAGGATGGGGGCGGGCGCAGGGCAGGGAGGGAGCGCGCACCCTACCCCTGCCCCCCACCCTCCGCTGCCGGAATCGCCGGCACAGGAGAGACGAGCTGCAGGTGTTGAACGCAGGAGGCGACCGGCGGCCCCTCGTCTGCACGGGGAGCCTCCGCGCGACCTCTGTCCCCTTGGAGGCCCCAGTGCAGCGACCACCGTGCGGCCCCCCCCCCCCGCCCCACGCCCAGCCTGTGGCTGCTGACACGGCTCCTCCTAGAGGGCTGCACGCTCCCAGAGGGCCGGCCACCGCTGGCTCTGGGGCAGGGAGGGGGCGGGCGCGCGGGGACAGCCGCCCCCGACCCCCAACAGCACGGGGGCCGCCCGGCGGGGACAGGGGTCCGCAGAGCCAGACGCCTGCACCGGAGCGAACGGCACGGGGCTGAGCCCCAGTGTGCACACCCGTCAGCCTGTGCCGGCCCCTCCGCCCTCGGAGGCGCGGCCCGGGGGCCGGCGGGACGCAGGGAGAACCTGGCCCTCCCTCCCTTCCTGTTTGGTTAACGGGGCAAGAGGCAGATGACAGAGCAAGGGGCTCCCCACGCTGCAGCCCTGACAGCAACGTGTGCCCCGCCCCCGCCCCCGCCCCCACCTCCCGCAGAGGGTACAGCACCACCCGCAGTCAGTCCCGCAGGAGAGTGTCCGCGAGCCCCGCCCCCGCCCCGCAGGACCTGGACGGAGGGAGCCCGTGGCACCGGCCAGGCCCTCGGCGGCCCTGCAGGCCGGCGCCCCGGCTCCTCAGCACACAAACGAGGAACGGCGGCGGCAGGCGGAAATGGACTTCCTAGACCAAAATAGGTTTTAAAGGGGTTTTTTTACAAGCAGCGGTGTGCGCGGACGCACACCTGGGCGATGAGCCACGCCGAGGACGCGGGAGGGACGGGGACGGCTGTCTCACCCTGAGCGGCAGACCGGCGCGCCCCCGGGGGCCCCCACGCGATGCGCCGTCCGCAGGGCCTGCGATCCCACAAGGCGCAGCTCCAGCTCCACGCCTGAGCGCACCCAGGACACGGGAGACCCGGGGCAGAAACCCGCCTCGTGCTAACAGTCGGAAGGGTCTATCACTTGTATTTTGCTCACCTCAGTTTTCTCTAGCTTCCAAATTGAGTACTAGCAGTGTAAGAAAGAAAAACTATTATTTTTAAAAACCCCAAACAACAAAACCAACACTAGGATTTAGATGACTTGACTTCCAAGCAAGAATCCATTCTATAACTTTTCCCCATTTGAAAAAAAATTGCAGCTGGCCTGCAGCACCACACAGTTTCAGCCACACAGAACCCATCACGTAACTTCACGCTGCCTCTCTTCACTGTCAAATGCGTCCCGTGACGCCTGGAATCGACACTGACACTGTCTCACGCTAACCTGTGGCCCGCGCAGGGAGTCAGCGCCGGGCGCGGCGACGCCGCTGCCTTCGGGCGAGACGACGCTGCGGCCGCGAGAGGCACGGTTCCTGCAAGACCCTGCGCCTCCATAATCACTGCCAATACCAAGTGACCGGGAGACTGGCAGGGTCACTACTGCACAGAAACGACACTCGGACTTGACGTGGGACCCCCCCCCCACCTTCAGCTTGGCGAGAACGGACTCACTTCCGGCCCGGAATGCCAGACACACGCAAAGCTGGCTCTCTGCTAATACGGGTCATCTCTTATTCTAAAGCACCTACTGTGACTGGATCTCCTCAAAACCCAGAAGGCTGCTGTGTCCCCAAGTTCTCAGTGGCAATTATTTCAAGTACACTATGTAAAAACTTGAAACTTTCGTTGGTAGTCCAAAGCAAATCCAGTCATTAGTTAATAAGGACTCTCCTTAAAAACGCGTCTCCCGTCAGGTACGCAGAGCAGCCAGAGCGACGCGGGGCCCAGAGCCAGGGAGCAGGCCGCCCCGCCCGCACCGCTCGGCCGCTGCAGAGAAGCCGGGCCTCGGGCGCCCCTTTGGAAGCGTGGCCCGTCAGCGGCTCAGGGCTCCCCCAGGACGCAGGCCCGCAGGAGGGGCCGCGCTGCGGAAGCGACACCGCGCGCCTGCTCGTCCACCCCGGGGAGGGCGAGCCGTACCTTTTGATGAGGTCTCGGAGGTGGTAGGCTGGGATGGCGGCGTTCACCACCGCTTTGCTGGCAAACATGTGGTCGATGATGGCGGAGCTGTTGGCCTAAAGAGAGAGAGAGAGAGAAGTCCTTCGGTGACTCGGTTCGGTCACACTTCCTGAGCACCGGGCACCAGTGCGCAGTCAGTGCCACAGAAACCCCATCTCCCGCGAGCTCGCGCTCTGAACGAAGGAGACTGTGCACAGAGGCACCCGCGGGGCCCTGCACGCGCACGCCCCACGCGAACAGCTAGAGAAACACCAAAGCCACCACGGGAAAGCGGAGCTCAGCGCCAACAAAAGGAAGGGGTGCTGGGCGAGCCCGAGGCGCGTCCTCAGAGGGAAGCGAGCTCGCCAGGGAGTAAGGCAGCGCCTGGAATCGCACGGGTTCCCTTATCCGCCCCCGGAACCCCCGTGCGGCGTGACGGCTCTCCCCGAGCACCACAGACGCGCGTGCAGGGCGCAGGCCCGCGAGCACCCTGGACTTCACGGGGCGCGTGCCACAGGCACACGGGATGCCGCGCGGGGTGTCTCCTCTTTACGCTCAGTCCCCCACGAGACATGCGCTGTTGTTGCCCTCACTTTACAGACAGGAAACCACGGTTCACGAGCCACAGCAGGGGGCTCAGTGAGCGCTACCGCAACACGGGCCGCGGCGGCCGGGCCACGGAGCCCCCGCTGCACGCCCTCGAGAACGTGACTCCGCGGACGACCGGGACGCGTCCGCCTAGGGCGCGGCCACTGGGATCTGTCGGCGCGCATCACGCCTGCCCACCTCCCCCCAAGTGCCCGGCCGAGGCCCCGTTCTGGTCGGCTCCAGCCCAAGCGGAAGCCGTTCCAGAGGCTTGGAAGGTCGCAGCCAACGCACCAGTCGTGACGCCAGAGACAGGCTCTGGCGTCCTGACAGGAGCACCGGTGACAAAGAACGTACTGGTTTCACTCGCACGGCCACATTTTCTGCCAGAAGCAAGCACCCGGCAAGCAAGTCCCTTGGGAGCTGCACACAGCCTGACGGCCACACACCATGCACCAGACGTTCGCTGTCAAAACCAGGGCATCCTCCATGCTGAGTTCTCAAACCTCCCGCCTGAAGGATACAAGGCTGTCACAATGTTCAAGCCCCAGGATGTGTCTGCAGACAAAGCGCAATGACCTCCTAACTGGTGAACACACACAGCTCGTCCCTGCGCCACAGGCTGGGAGCTCAGAACCTGTGCCCCAGACCCCAACGCACGAGGGACGGCTGTGTGGCCCAGGGCAGGTGGTTCTGCAGACCTGAGCCTCTGGTCCCCTGAACAGAGTGACATGTACCCACGCCCACCGCCCTCGCAGAGCCATCGGGGGGTACGGTGAGCTGGCACGTGAAGATGCTTCAGCTGTAACGCGTAACCCACAAGCCTAACAGAAAAAACACCGCTCCACTTGCAACACACTGCCGTCTTACTAACAGTTCAGGAGGTAGAGCTCAACAGAAGAAACTGCCTTTGCTTCTTCGGGAAAAGGCCCGCATCCCCGTGCTGACTCCAGGGGAGCCCCAGCCCGGGAACAGGGAGTCACGCTGAGCCGCCCGCCGCAGCCGGGGCGGGCGGAGCGGCAGGCAGCGCCCGCCAGCACAGGCGGCAGCGACAGCGGGTGGGAGGCAGAGTCCTCAGCAAGGACCGCCATGAGCCGGGGGCTCGGACGCTGGGACCAGGGACCCCGCGGAGGGCGCTGGCGCCAGTTACCTTCCATTCCTGAGACCGGACCGTGTGCTTCAGCTTCACCCCGGAGAACATCTCCAGCAGGATGATGCCGAGGCTCCACAGGTCCACGGCCGAGGTGCACTCCGTGTCGCTCTGCAGGCCGGCCTGGGCCAGGCAGTTCTGCAGCTCTGCCTCTGGGGCCCGGTACCCGTCTGTCTGAATGTACTTCACATCCTGAAGGCGACAAGCAAACGTTGCACCCAGCAGAAAACTGCTCGCTTCCCATCCGCCCACCTCTGCGCTGCATTCCTGCCAACCGGACGCCCGAACGTTCCGCCCTTGGCCACCCTCATCCTTCGGCCCCTCCGGGGGGCTGGCGTCACCGAGGGCCGCACGCTTTCCAGAGAGCCCCTTGCTTCCTTAGTTTCTTGCCTGCTAGGACTGCCGATGAACAAGGATGCTGTGCAAGGAGCTGACAAACCAAACCGAGTGGGGGGTGTGCCGGAACCAACACCCGTGGTTCCCCAAGCCGGCAGACACCCGTAACTCGGCAAAGGGCCAAAGCGCCCCCTGCAGGGGGTCGCTTCCAAAGGTCCCGGGTCCCTTCGTGCTTCACCGGCTCCTCCAACCTGACCGAACGCATGCTGTCAGGGAGCTTCTTTCTATCTGCTTCACCCCCAGGAAGGGAGGGCGACAGTTTCAAGCAGCTCTGGGGCCTCCACTAAGTCACCTCTGTGACCCCCAGCACCTGCCCTACACCCTGAGGGGGGAGGAAGGACTTCCTACCTGATTGCCCTCTTTGAAGCTCAGCCCAAAGTCAATGAGCTTGAAGCACTCGCTCTCTGCGCTCCACAGTATGTTCCGCGGCTTGAGGTCGGCGTGGACGTAGCCCTCGCGGTGCAGGAAGGCGAGGGCCTCCAGCACGTCCCGGGCGCAGTGCTGGATCATCCACAGGGAGCAGCCCTGGCGGCTGGAGTACAGGAGCAGCTCCGAGACGCTGACGTCGAGGAGCTCCAGCAGCAGACAGCGCGACGGCACGTTGGGGGAGAAATGGATGGTGAAGACGCCATACAGAGTCACTAGGGGGAGAGAGGGGTCACCACGCGGTCAGAGCCAGACCCCGAGCGCGCCCCTGCTGAGGCGGGCAACCGCAGGCCGCAAGCCTGGGGTGGTCTAGAGGGTCACTGGTTAGAAGGAAGCGCCCCCTGCAGTTTATTTTTCCTGGGAGGAAGATTCCCGGGCGACTGTGTTATTTCAGTAAAATAAGATGACACACCTTCAGCGGTTGACAACCATTCAAAGATGTTCGACACGGCACAACAATTCACGCTGCGTGTCACCAAGCACCCGTGATGGGTGCACATGCACTGAGGGTGCCAAGGAGAATTGATCAAAAGTAAACATTTTTTAAAAAATTAAAAATCCAGCCCTGGACGGGTAGCTCAGCGAGTCAGAGCATCGCCCGATGCGCCAAGGTTGCAGGCTGGGTCCCGGGTCCGGGCCTCTGCAGGAGCCGCCCACTGCTGCTGCGTCCGGAAATGGGGCGACAGATCAGTGTTCTTCTGTCTCTCTCCCTTCCCCTCGCTCTCCCTTCCTCTCTCTCAAATCAATACACACATCCCTGTACAGTAAAAACCCAACTATTATGCACGCCTCAGGACGAATGTCCAATGTGGAAAAACAAAGTTTGAAGACTGGTTTCTGATCCCAAATAGCACTCTACAATCTCAATATTAAAGAAAGAGAGTACGCCCTTTGAAGAGCCCACGTCAGCTCTTGCAGAGCTTCAACAGTCCTCAGGCCTGCAAAAACCGCAAAACATTTCCCCTCTAAATACCACGGCTATGGACAAAATGTAGTAAGCGTTAAAAAAAAAAAAAAAGCTAAAAAACCCCAGTGTTCAATGCTCCAAAAACGGTAATGTACCAAAGCCGCATCTTCCATGATGCTGGCCAGGCAGGAAGCAGGGATTAGGCAGAGCCGGAACGGCGCGGGGAGGGCTGACAGCGGGGGCCGCTGTCACGGGTCCATCATCAGCTGCCAGGTCAGACCCCACGTCTGAGCGTCGGAGCCCCAAGCGAGAGCGCGCCAGGCGTGCGGCTGTCACACCTCGACAAGGGCGCCTGGGAAACCCTGAGTCATGCCTCCCCGGCCGGACTACATGCGGATGCAGCGGCGTCCACCGGCGTTCCCCGCCGAGGCCCGAGTCCCCCCCGCAGGGCCCGCTTCCCACTGCTGTGCAGAGGCTGAAATCTCCACGCGAGACCGGACGACCCAGCAAAGGCGCGGCTGCCGTCCCGCGGGAGGCACCTGCGCCCCGGCCCGCCGCGGCCCCGCAGCCGCCCGGCCCGCCGCCCTCACCGATGTTGCGGTGGCCTTGCAGCTGCTCCAGCGCAGCGCGCTCCTTGCGGAAGCCATACTCAGCGGCCGAGGCGGCGGCCCCGGAGGCGCCAGGCGGCAGGAACTGCTTCAGCGCGCCGGGGGGCGAGCCGGGGGTGCCGCAGCAGCGCACCCGGTACACCGACGCCGAGGACCCGCTGCCCAGGCGGCTCTGCACCTGCCACAGCCGCCCGAAGGCCTCCAGGAAGCGCGGCGGCTCGGCGCCCCACGCGCAGCCGGACGCCGCCATCCGTGCGGACTGAGGGCGACGCGGCGCTGACGCGACGCCAGGCAGCCGGCGGCGTCCGCCGGTCACATTGCCGCCGCCGGCCGCTCCGCAGGGAGGGGCCCACCGCGCGCCGCCGCCGCCGCCGCCGCCACCGCCGCTGCTGGGCTTAGGCCGCCATGACGCCGGAAGCCGCGGCCCCGCCGAAAGCCGGAAGCCGGAAGCGGACGCGGAGCCCAGCCGGCGCCGGAAGGAGGCGGGAGCCCGGGTGGGCGTGGTTCCAGGGGAGGGGCGTGGCGTCCGCAGGTGCGAGCGTCGGAGTTTCTAACCGGGTGGTGGAGGGTCCTCGCGCCCCGGGCTCCCTGTCGCCAGCCTCGGCCGGTGCATCGGGGTTGACAGGCTTGGGAGGCCACTTGTGTCCCTTGCTGGAGCCGAAGGCGCCAACGCAGCACCGGGGCTGACGCCGCAGAACCCCTCGCGCGTCTCACGCCGCCCCGGAAGTTCCTCCGCGTGGTTTTCCCCTGTCCCTGAACCGGCCGCCAACGGGCCTCACGCGGCCCTCCTTGCACCTTCTCTGACTCTAACATGTACAATAAGCTGCACAGCCGCCATCCACCGCGTTCCCTCCGTCCCTGCAGATCCCACTTCCGAGCGTGTCCTCGGGATAACGGGGGAGCGCGGGCGGCGCAGCCCGGATGAGGGCGCGCGCAGGGCCGGCGCCGCGGCAGGAAGGCCCGGGGCTGGCCGGCGGCGCTGCGGCCAGGACGTGCTGCCTGATCCGCGCCCCACAGGGTTTCGGAAAGACGCCGGCGCGAACCGCTGGTTTCGCAGCTTCCTGTGCGTCTGAGGCGGCGGAGGCTGGGGCCGGTGGAGTCAAAGGGGGGTCGACACGTGGGCAGCCAGGGGTCAACGTGCGGCGGGCGGGAGGGCGCTTCATACCGGCGCCCGGGGGGTCGGGTCTCACCAAGGGGCAGGGGCAGGTGGAGAGCTCAGTGCCCATGGCCCTTAGGAGGTATATGGAGAGTCTGCATTCCAGAGAAGAACGCCTACGTTTTAGACACTTTCGCTGTAGAGAAGTGAAAATACGAAGGCAGGCAGAAGAAAGCACAGACCCTCTACTGACCCTCGTTAACATGTTGGCGAAATTCTTTCTAGACCCCTGTGCGTTTACAGCCGCACGCGGGCGCTGCCCACTGGCGCGCACAAGCCCCCACACGTGCCTGGGTGAAATCGTCTGATGGCTGACCTTTCGTAACTCACCACCCACCGGGCGCCCACCCCCCCCACCCCCCGCCGCCCGCGGAAGCCGGGGTTCCCGCGCCCTAGGGACTGAGTGCGTCCTAGCAGCGCTCAGCCGCCGCCGCGCTCGGCCTTCGGGCACACGGGCGTGTGGCCTGGGAGTGCGCTCCGCGAATGATGCCCGGCCGCGGGGAAGGTGGACGAGGCTGGCGCGTGCAACGTGAGCGCAGGAACGAGTGGGAGACCCACGCCGACCGCCCTACACAGCTTCGCGCGGGGAACGCGCCAGGGTGGGCGTGGTGGCTGCGGGCCCTGCACCCCCTGCGAACCCACCGCCCAGGCTCGGGAGGCGCCTCGCTCCTGCAGCCCAGCCGCTCACACCAGGCCCCGGGCGCCGGGGGACGACAGTTCCGCCTGTAAGGCTGGGTTTACTTGACATCTCTCATAGGAGATCAAAAACAAACTCCGGCTGTCTTGTGACAGAGGGAACTGTGTTAAAAGTGACAAAAAGCCCAAAGGCGAGGCTGCAGCCAGATCTCCGCAGCCGCGGGAATCAGGAAGATGGAAACTCGCGGGGAACCCAAGGCGGCCGTTCTCTCTCTCTTGCAGTTCCGTCTGCGGATACACGATCGACAGCCGTCACTCCAGCGAGAGGTGTGCAGCCCCAAGACCCGCACATCCTGTGGAGAGGCGGCCACGGCCTTGTTAACACCGTCCCTTGGCGGCGATGCAAACAAAAGGGGGAAAGAAATGATTTTCTTGCAATGAGAACTTTTGGGCTCCCCTCTCTGAACTTGCCTGCACTCGGCAGTGTTACCCATGGCCCCCACGCGGGACACTCACTATTTTACGACGGAAAGTCTGCGGCTTTTGAACCCCTCCCTCCACCTCCCTCTACCCCCACCCCACCTCTGGGAACCACAGGCCTGATCTCGTTGTCTCCGAATTTGGTGGTGGTTTCTTTCTTTGCTTTTTAAAAAAATGTTTATGTATTTATTTATTCTCAGAGTGGAAGGGAGGGAGGAAGAGAGGGAAACATCAACGTGTGGGTCGCCTCTTGCGCGCCCCCCACGGGGGACCTGGTCCCCAACCCAGGCCTGCGCCCTGACCGGGAATCGAACTGGCGACCCTTTGGCTCGCAGGCCGGCGCTCAGTCCACTGAGCCGCACCAGCCAGGGCTCGTTCCATTTAAAATCTCCATGTAAGTGAGGCCGTATGGCACTTGTCTCCCTCCAGCTGACTTACTATTTCACTTCACATGCCCTCAAGTTCCACGTTGCCACAAACAGCAGGGTTTCCTTCATTCTATGGCCAAGGAATGTTCCATTTTGTAAACACGTGTATGTCTCTATCCACTGTTTTGGGCCCCGCGGTGGCCTCCGTACCTTGGCTTCTGTAAATAATGCTGCGATGAACAGGGGGTGCAGATGTCTTTTTGAGTCAGTGTTTTTGATTTCCTCTAAAACATACCCAGAAAAGTAATTGCAGAATCATGTGATAGTTCTAGTATTAACTTTTTGAGGATGTTCTCACAACTTCCATAGCGGCTGCACCCACTGACTTTCCCACCAACTGTGCACGGGGGTTCCCCCTTCCTCGCGTCGCCCCAACACCGATTTGCCTTTTGGAGGAGGGTCATCCTGACAAGGGAACGGTAACCACTCGCTGTGGTTTTGGTTTGCAGTCCCCTGATGACTAGTGACATGGAGCATCTTTTCATGGGCCCATCGGCCGCCTGCCTGCCTTCCTCGGAAAAATGTCTATTCAGGTCCATGGTCCATGTGTTAATTGGCTTGGTTCTTTTTGCTATGGAGTTGTACTGAGTCTGTATATTTAGGCATGAATCCCTTATCGGATGCATGGCTTGCAAATCATTTCTTCCACGCTGTGGGTCGTGTTGGTAGGACTGTCTTGTAAACGCTGCTTCTCCCTACGGGTCAACTTTCTTCTTCATGTTGCGGACAAGTTCCCTCTCTTCTCCTGGCTGCCGGGGGCCGGGGGGTGTTGCCCACCAGCGCACAGCCTCCAAAATAAACCTGTTACACAGCTGTTCCACGGGCGTCTTTTCCATGATTTCCCCCTCCCTTCCCAGTCCCCTGTGCCTCTCTCTCCTTTATTCATTTTCCTCAAGTTCCTCGGTAAGGGTTTCCGAGGAGCCCGCCTTCCGCCCGCGCGGCGGGGAGTCAGCCCTGGCCACAAACAGGGCCCTGGGCTTGGACTCCCGCGGCGGGGCCCTGGGGGGAGCGAGGGCCGATCCTGCGCACCCTGCGGCTGCTCCCAGCAGGGAGTGGGATCAGAACAGCGGCAGAGCGGAAGGGTTTATCAGGGAAAACCTTCAACACCTCGGAAGCAGACATTAACGTAACAAACCCCACACAGCGGACTGGCCACGGACGGACGTGCACCCCCACACCCTCGAAGCCCTCGCTCCCCCGGACAAAATCGGCAAGAATTCCTTGGCGCCATCCAATATCCAGGCAGTATTTAAGTTCCCCCTACGGCAGGACGTTTTTTGTACTTGTTTTCTTAAAAAACCAGGATCCAAACAAGATCCTCACACCGCGCTGGTTTTCTACCTCACAAACCGCTTTCAACCAGGAACACCCCGGCACCTGACTCGGTTTCCGTGGCATCGGCCTGGGGGGGGCGGGGGGACTCTCTGCTGTCCCTGCTGAAGGCCCCCGCGCAGAGCCGCCTGCCCGCTCCTGCAGGACGGCCACCCGGGCGGAGGCTGGCTGCATTCGCTCACTTCAGGTGTGGCCGTTTCTGAACGTCCCTTCGCCGAGGGCCCTGTGCTTCCTGCTGCCGGCGGGCGCCCCCAGGCCTGGTGGGTTCGGGGGTGACGGCTTGGTCCCACCCTCCTCCAGGTCGTTCTCAAACATCTGCCTGAAGCTCTCACCCGTGGCCTGTTCCCCTGGATTGCCTCTTCCACTGGGTACCAGGACGTGCAACTGCGCCGGTTCTGCGGGCGCGTAAAGGCGGCCGTCACTTTGTGGGGAGCGCCGGGCTCCCCTGCAGCGGGAGGAGCCGTCTCGTGGGAAGTCACTCTATTGCACCCCAGCGGGGCCAGCCCGCGTCGCTTTCAAACTTGTTTTGGCCGGTGTGACGGGAGAGAGATGTGACCTCAGCCTGGATTTAACTTGCCTCCTCTGATGGTGAGTGAGGAGGAGGGGACTGGGTTGGAGGGGAGGGTTTGGTTGATAAAAAGGCAAGAAAGCCGCCATGGGGATAAAGATGAGTGGGCACCCCGTGACCTCCGCCCTCGCTCGGAAGACAGAAGACTTGCCTCACACCAAGAGGGGCGACCAAGCCCCTCTCTCACCGCCGAACAGGCTCTGCCGCCTGCCGGACTCCCTGGAAGTTGAACAGAAAGTACCCAAGGCCACGCGAGCAGCCGCGATGGGAGAGCAGCTCTGTCTCGATGAGCCGCAGTTCATGACCCCCACCCCAGAGCGGGGGCGCCCGTGAGCCCACGTGCGCGCGGGGCGGTTCAAGGGCAGGCGGCCTCCCAGGCCGTGGAAAAGCACCCTCTCGGTTAAGGAGGCATTAAGAGCACGGGGTCCTGTCTCCAGATTCCCACCTGAGATAGGCAGCAGCCCCCACAGGTACTCGAGTGAGGCAGCTGCACGGGTGTATACCGACCGCCTGACAGTGCATTTTGGTATGTTTACATGGCTGACGTTTCAGAATGAATAGTTAATTGACTTGTAAATAACGCGCAGGAGGCTTTGGCTGCTCAGACGACCGTGGAGGAGACGGGGAGGTGTTGGTCAAAGGGGAAAAACTCCCGGGGATGAGACGAGTTCTGGGGACCTGCTGGGCAGCACGGGATAGTCCCTGACGACCCGCAGTCGCACACGGCGAGTGGGCCGGAGCCGTTCTCGCCACAACAGAGACACGGCAGCCACGTGGCCGGAGGGAGGCGTGAGCTAGTGCCACGGTGGCGATCATTTTGCAACCTAGGAATGGGCATCCCAAATCATCCTGTTGTCCACCTTAAACTTACACAATGTTACGTGTCGATTACGTCTCCGTCGTGGCTACTCAGAGCCTCGGACAAGAGGAGCCGCGGTTCCCAGGGGCATCAGCTGACCCAGGTGGCAAAGGTTCAGCAGGAAGAGCAGAGACCGCCCCGCCCACCCCAGCCTGTCTCTGTGGCTTCGCTGCCTCTGGCCGGAGAGGTGTCTCTTGGCCTCTGTGGGGAGGCCTTGTTGGGGTCTCCAAGGCGGGGACCTCACGCCACACCTCACAACCTCTTTCCTTCCGCCTGAAAAAAGCACCCCTGCCCTAACTTGCGTACCCCGGTGTCCTTGCACCTGCGACTCCCTCCAAAGCACGATGCTGGGGATGTTAAAAGTGGCCTTGGTCCCCGAGGCAGAGCTTCGTCCCGGGGACGGGCTGCCTCCCCATGGAGTCCGGGAGCTCCCTGTCTCCTTGGACACGACGTTCCAGTCTTCAGGCCATTTGGCCCGCGGAGGTCCCACCCCCGCCACCGTCCCGTTGGGGGTTCACGCAGCACCTCAGCGTGGTCTGGGCACCCGCGCTGAGCGTGGCCCGCGGTCGGAGGCGGCTCCGGCAGAGGGCAGGCGCCCGCTGTGGCCACGGGCAGTGCCAGGCCCCCTGCAGCGGGCACCAGACGCCGGGCCAGCCGCACACGCCCACCCCTGGGGCCTGGGCGCAGCACCCTGGCCGCAGGCGAGCACTGAGCCCCACAAGCGCTCAGGCCTCGCGGCCTGTGAATCACATCCGGGGCCCTCTGCTGGCTGAAAAGTCTCGGTCACTTACCACCTCCGCCTTCTCACTTCCTGAAGCTTGTGAAACCGGTCGCGTCCACAGAACGGTCTCCAATCACTGTCACCAGCCAGAGGGGGAAGCTGCCCTGGACGCGGACTCGTTCTGGGCCCTGAGAGGCTCGCATGGATCTGCCTTATTACCACGGCGCTCTGTCCAAGAAGGCCTGCGAGGGCCTGCTGCTCACGCCGCGGGCCGACGGCAACTTCCTGCTGCGGGACAGCGAGTCCATGCCCGGTGCCCTGTGCCTCTGCGTCTCGTGAGTAGCTCGCCTTCCCCGCGTCCGAACCACATGGTGGCTGCCGGGGCGGCAGCCGCACCGAACGGACCCTGGATTCCACTCCGACTCAGTCGCCCCAGGGAGCGGAGCGGGCCAGGGGTCCCGCCAGGGGCAGGGGACGGCGCCGTCCACGGCGCCCGCCTGCCCCCGCCCAGTGTGCAGGCCCCGAGGGCCAGGTCCAGAGCCCGGGCGGGCGGGCGGGCAAAGGGCAGGGGCGCGGGCGCGAGACCCGGAGGGGCGGCCGGCGCGGAGGCCGCCTCGGCAGCGCCTGTGTGTGCGCTGCGGGGAAGGCCGGCGCCCTTGGGAAGCTCCGTCCGAGAGACGCAGGTCTTCCCCGCCTTCGCCCCGCTCGCAGCGCTTCACAGCCTCGCGCGCCGTCCATGTGGCGGCTGGTCCGGCCTTTCCCAAGGCTCAGATGTCATTCTGAAACTCCAGGACTGACGTCCCTGGGAGACACCAGGCCGGAGCCACCAGAGCCGCCGTGAGGGGCCTCGGTCAGGCCGCTAAGAAACCCGCGGAGCCCTCGGCGGCACCGGGCACCTTCGTGTGTCCCCCGGAGGCCGCCTCGGGAGCGGAGGGCCAGCAGCGGCCGTGGTCGCTGACAAGGCGGGGGCTCCTTGCTCTCTGCGGGGCTGGGACACAGGTTGAGACAGCAGCCGTCAGGCATCTGCAGGTTGACTTTTTAAGCACCACATGACATTTGGATGGTTTTTGTGTGTTTTTTCGCCACAAGTAATTCCTCTTTTCAGAATTGCACAATCATGCCTTCATCTGTCTTTAGCTTTATTTGTGTCTTTTTAGTTTATTGATTATGCTATGACAGTTGTCCCATTTTTCCTCCCCTTTAATCCCCTCTGCCCTGCACCCCCCTTCTACCAGCGTTCACCCCTCCTTCGTTCCTGTCCCTGGGTCATGCCTGTAAGTTCGTTGGCTTCTCCATTTCCTATCCTATTCTCAGCTTCCCCCGGTCTGTTTTGTACCTACTATTGATGCTGCTTTTTCCCTGTGCCTTTTCCCTCCATTCTTCCCCCTCCCCCTCCCCTGATCTCCATTTCTGCGATCCTGTTCCTGCTCTAGTTGTTTGCTTGGTTTGTTTTTGTTTTTGTTTTAGGTTCAGTTGTTGATAGTTGTGCGTTTGTTGTCATTTTACTGTTTATAGTTTTTGATCTTTTTCTTTTCCTTAGATAAGGCCCTTTAACATTTCATATAATAAGGGCTTGGTGATGATGAACTCCTTTAACTTCATGTTATCTGGGAAGCACTTTCTCAGGCCTTCCATTCTAAATGACAGCTTTGCTGGACAGAGTGATCTTGGATGTAGGTCCTTGCCTTTCATGACTTGGAATACTTCTTGCCAGCCTCTTCTTGCCTGCAAGGTTTCTCTTGAGAAATCAGCTGATAGTCTTATCAGCTTTACTGTTTCCTTTTCTCCTGGTGCTTTTAAGATTCTCTCCTTATCTTTAATCTTGGGTGATGTAATGATGATGTGCCTTGGTGTGTGCTTCCTTAGGTCCCACTTCTTTAGGACTCTCTGAGCTTCCTGGATCTCCTGCAAGTCTATCTCCTTGGCCAGACTGGGGAAGTTCTCCATCATTATTTTTTTCAGATAAGTTTTCAATTTCTTGCTCTTCCTCTTCTCTTTCTGGCACCCCTATGACTTGGATGTTGAAACATTTAAAGTTGTCCCAGAGGTTCCTAAGCCTCTCCTCATTTTTTTGAGTTCTTGTTTCTTCATGCTGTTCCACTTGAATATTTATTTCTTCCTTCTGCTCCAAATCATTAATTCGAGTCCTGGTTTCCTTCCCGTTTCTGTTGATTCCCTGTATACTTTTCTTTATCTGACTTTGCATAGCTTTCACTGGTTCCTCTGGTCTGCGACCATACTCAGCCATCTCTGTGAGCATCCAGATTACCAGTGTTTTGAACTCCGCGTCTGATAGGTTGGCTATCTCTTCATTGCTTAGTTCCATTTTTGGAGTTTTGATCTGTCCTTTCACTTGAGCTGTATTTCTTTGTCTCGGGGAACCCTTTACGTTGGAGGGGAAGAGCCTTAGGCATTCGCCAGGGCAGGGTGACGCAGGTCGCTGGGCTGTGACGCTGCGTGTGGGGAGGGGTCCCAGAGGAACAATGCCATTGCTCACTTGCTCGGCTCCCACCCCATTTTCAGTCACTCCCCTCGCTGCCCGCAAGCAAACTGGGCCCTTCTGGTGCTGATTCCTGGGTGGGTGGGTTTGTGTACGGTCTGGGTCCCCTGAGGGTCTCTCCAACAGACTCTCCTGTGAGGCGGGGAGTCTCTCCTGCCGCTGCATCCCCCACAGGTGTTTACAGCCAGGGGTTCTGAGGCTTTCTTCTCCCGCGCTGGGACCCTGGGTTGCGCGGTCTGTCTCACTCCCTAGCTGTTCCTCGGGCTCAGCCGCTGCAGACGCGGGACCGCCCTCCTGCCGGTCTGGGTGAGCGTTTCCTGTTTAGCCCCTTGCTTGTCGGACTTCCCTACTGTTAGATTTTTCTGGCAGTTCTGGTTGTTTTTTGTTTTTAAATTAGTTGGTGTCCTTCTGCTGGTTGTGTGAGGAAGCAAAGCATATCTACCTGCACCTCCAGCTTGGCCGGAAGTCTGTTCGTCTTTATTGATTTTTTTCCAGTTTCTTGTAGGAAGGTAAACATTCCTTCCAACACACACATGAGATAACCACAGACCAACTTAAATTTCATTTAATATCAATTTTCTGTAAACGACTCACCAAATAGAAGCCATTAGCATAAAATATACTATGTTCACGTATGGTTTCCATGTCCGGGAAATTATTAGTTTAATCACATAGTAATAGGTCAAAGGTTACAAACCACATAGCTCACTCAAATTTACTTAAAAGGCATTAAAAATCAATATGCACCCCTCCATAAGGCACGCACACGTGCGCGCACACACCTTCCCTCACGCGCACTTACACGCCCCGAACCGCACGGCTGGAGTGAGACGTCCTTAAGCGAGGGCCGCGGCGGCCGGCACCGCCCGCACTGCGGGGTCCCCGTCAGTCAAAGGAGGCCCATAAACCCGGACAAGAAAGACGCAAGGGTATTATTTGCAGCTGAAACAAGTTTACACCTGTGACATCTAACATTTAACTAAAAAACAAACCCTACTAAAATCTTAAAAGAAAACTCAATAGGGATATCTGCCTTTCTCAACAAGATGTAAAACCCAGACACCAAAAAGGGAAGACAGATCAATGGGACCCTTGTAAAAAAATTTTTTTTGAAACCCTGATATGAAAAGCCACTTGAAAAAAATTAACCCGCAGAAAAGAATAAACTTCATAAACACATAAGAGTTTTAAAACTCAGTCGAAAACTAAGGGAAGTAACCGCAGGGCGCGGAGGGGGCGATCTGGCGTAGAAACGCGAAGACGCGAAGAAGCTCCGTGTCCCCGGTAACTAACGACATACAAGCAAAGGAAACCCCAGAGGCGCCCCCTCCCCGCAGGCGCCCAGAGGAAGTAAACGCACAGACAACGGCCCCACATCTCACAGAGGAAAACCTGTCTCACCGGGCCCGGGTGTGCTCCACCCCCAAAGGGTTCCTGTGGGGGCCGGGGAGACGGCGGCCCGGCCGTGCAGGCGTGGGAGCCCGGTGCAGGCGTCGGCCGAGGCGGACGGACGCCCTTCTCAGCGTGGAAGGGACGTGCAGGCCCGGCGCGGCCCCACAGCCTGGTCGGGCGCGCAGGCTCCCTGGGCCTCCCGCGGGGGCGGGTCTCCTCCCCCAGACCCCGGTTCTGCCGCGCCCGACCCCGGGACTGCGCGAGTGTGTGCGAACCGGCGTGAACGAGACCAGGTCCAGCCTGGGGTCTGAGAAAACCTGCGAGATCTTTGCTTGCGTGGGGTGGCAAGAGGCGGCGCGTGGGCCCCGTGGCGTGCGAGAAGGAGCCGTCGCCTGCATCCCTGCGGCTGGGGCAAAATTCCAAGCAGGGGCAGGAGGGGCCGCAGCCCTCTCTTCCCATTCGGTAACTTCCTCCGACGGTTTACGTGACTTACGTGCAGGCACGACTTTGGTCCTTTAAAAAGTGTGCATAAAACGGCAGCGAACCCCGCGGGTGCGAACGCCGTGCCAGGGCCTGGGGGGCACGTGCTCTTCCTTTTTCAAGGAGCTCCCCCTTGTAAATGAACAGAACAAGGTCCAGCGTGAGCTCCAGGGTGGACGGTTGTGTTCCAACCCGCGGGCGCTGCCCAGGCCCTTTGGAAACCGCCCCCGGGAAGGGCAGGCGCGGGATGAGGCGGGGGGCCCCCCACGGGATGACGCGGCGCTTTCTGAGCGGAGATGCGACAAGGCCCGTCCGTGCTCAGCTTCTGGGATTCGAGTGTGACTTGCAGAACTCGCTACGAGGACAGCAGGACCTGTCTCCCCGCTCGATGTATTATTTTCACATTTCTTAGCGGCGTCTCCTGCAGAGGGACCGACGAGCCCGGTGCTGGGTGCTGCCCACGATCGGGCCTCGCCCGCCCTGGCCGCCCCCCCCACCCCCCACGTCCCTGACAGGCAGACAGAGCTGCCAGCACCTCGGGCTCCAGGCTCGGGCCCCGCGTCCCCGCTGGAAACGGCCCTCGTCACGACCCTCGTGAACTGCTACTGTCACACAGATCTGCACAGCCCATTCGCCTCTCAGCGACGACAAAGCCTCCCAGGCTTCAGGCGCACCGCCCAGTGGGGAAACGCAGCAAGCGGGGCTGGGCTCGTGCGGCCGGGACGGTGGGACCGCGGGCGCCGCGGGGACTGAGGGCAAGGGGGGGCCTCGCGCGGAGGAGGGGGCCTGCCCCGGGGCTGGGACTCCGGGGACAACTGCTGCCGCCCCCCGTTCCCTCGGCAAGCAGCCTCCACGCCGCCTTGTCCCGGGCCCAGCTGACACCGTGACCGGTACTGCCGGCGTTCGCCCTGCTCTCGAGCGTCCAATTCAGCGAGAGGAGGCCACGTGCAGAAAACACGGTGGGGGGGGGGGCGCCGCCACGGAGCTGCTTTCCATGAGCGCTGCGCCAACCCCTTCCGTGGTCGCCCGAAGGAAGAGCCTTTGCAGAGCCCCTTGCCGTCGGTGACATTACTGCCATTCTCTGGGGAGAGGAACTGGAGCTTCTTATCAAACTGCATGTCCACACCCAGACTGCTAGCGCGAGGTCCTGGTCCCCGCCTCACCGACGGCCCCGGACGCAGGGAAAGCGGCACACGCGGTCACCCGAGAGCCTTGCACGAAGGGCCCAGGCCGGGGGCACCCCTGGCAGCCCGGGCTCCTGCCCTCCCTGCCGCGGGCACGGGCAGCGCAGCCCAAGCGGGAGCCCAGGCAGGGCCAGCACCGCCGCAGGAAGTCGCAGCGCGGCAGCGCTGTGGCCGGGAGGTGCTGCCTGATCCACGCCTGATAGGGCTTCTGGGCAAGCGCCTTCCTGTGCATCTGAGGCGGGAGCTGAGTCGGCCTGGGGCCCGTCGAGTCGCGGTGGGGTCCACACCTGGGCAGCCGAGGGTCCCTGTGCGGCGGGCGGGAGGGTGCGTGTTCGGGCGCCGGGGGCGGGGGCGGGGGGCGGGGGGCTGCAGGGACGGGAGCCCGCGGGCCGCCTGCCGGTCTCGCTCGGAGGACAGGCCCCAAGGCTGACGACCTGCTCTCAGGGTCTGAGGTCTTTGGGAAGAATCAAGTTCAGGAAGAAAAAAAAAACCACCAACCTTTTTTGTTGTTTTTCAAAAATCAAATGGAGAGAAAGGTATAAAAAAAGAGGAGCTGCCTGCACCGCACCCTCGTCACCCCCGGACCCGGGGCGTCGGCCGCCCTCGTGCGCACAGTGGCTGACCTATGAGCCTCCGGGGACACTCACACTTGCCTTCCACTGATCTTTAAAGTTTGGTTAAAATGAAACTACAACCTGACCACAAACGAGTCTCCAGACAGCCCCAGCCACCGCACAAGACCGGCACCCACGTTTCGGCCTGAGCCGCGCGACCCGGGCGGAGGGAGGGCCTCTGTCTCCCCCTCCGCTCGCCTGAAAGGGCCGCTGGCAAGCCCTGCGCCCTGCGCCCCGCCCTTCCTGACTGCACCTGAAAACGCCCGAGATTCCAAACACGTCTCACACGGGCTGGAGACGTCACGAATCTCAGGAGCGACTGACGGGCTTCCCTGGACCTCAGGCCTGTCGCTCGTCCCGAGCCGGCCCGCGCCGGCCACCCTCGCCAAGGACAAAGCCTCCGTGGAGGGCCGATCAGCACAAAAGGGAGGTGTCTTTGCTATCGGTGCCGAAGACCAGCCACGGAAACGGCAGGAGCCGTGTGGGCCGCATGGACTTGGATCCGGGTTGCATATTAGAACACAAATGAATTCCATTTGTATTTCTGCCCCGGGCGATCTTTACAAACCCTGTGCAGGGGGGTGAATTCTGACACTCACACACCCGGGAAAATGGCACCGCAGCTGAGCCTCCGAGAAGCGCGGCTCCCAGGCCCCGGGCCGCCACCTGCCTTGGGGCCCTTCCCCCAGGGCACCCTTCCTGCCGAGCCGCAGGCCATTCGAGGGACAAGTCACAACATTTCTGCACACACACTTTCGTTTTTCAGCTACAGCTGACATTCACAGTCGTCCTGCGCTGCCGTCAGACGTTTGGCATGGGGCTTAGAGACTTACGTGCTTTTCTCAGTGACCCTGGCCTCCTCACAGACGCCACAGCCAACGCGGCGGCGGGGGCCTGGCCCTGTCTGTGGACGCCTTTCCGTTTCTCCCATGCAGAGAAGAAGCGTGGGCGGCTGGGTCCTGTGCCCAGGGCAGGCTGGGTATTTTTAAGAAACTACCAAACAGCCTGGCTGGGTGGCCCAGCGGGTTGGGCGTCGCCCCGTACACCGAGAGGCTGCGTGTTCGATTCCGGGTCGGCGGGCGTGCCTGGGCTGTGCGTTCGGTCTCGGCAGGGGCGCACGGAAGAGGCGGCTCACCGATGTTTGTCTCTCACATTGATGTATCCCCCCGCCGCCCCCAAAATGAATGAGCATGACCTTGGGGAGGATAAAAGAAAAAGAAACAGCCAAACTGCTCTGCGGAGCGAGAGCCCAAGGCGAGGTCCGGCGGCTCCACGCCCTGACGCTCGCTGCGCGGGGCCGGCCTTTTTCACCTCGGCCACGGTGATAAGTGTGAAGTGGTAAAATCTCTGTGATTTTAATCTACCGGTCGCTCATGACCAACAACACTGCATATTTTTTCATGCGCTTACTTGCCATCCATGTATCTCCTGTGACGAAGTGTCCGTTCCAATATTTTGCCAGGCGAAACTGTTTCTGCGTTTACTTTCTTACTGAGTCTTGATGATTCTTTACAGATCGGGACGCACGTTCTTTAAGAGATGGGCGGCGCTTAACTACTCTTCTCCCGTCTTGTGACTTGTCCTTTCACCCTCTTAACGGTGTCAAAGAACAGAGGCTGCCAATTCTAACGAAGCCCCGGTCTTTGCTGTTTTTCCTTTATGGATTGTGATTTTTGTGCTGTGTGGAATAAATCCTTGTCTAACTCAATTCACAGAGACTGTCTCCTGGTTTTTTCCTGCAGTTTTATAGTTTCAGGTGCCGCGTTCTGTGGGGCCCATTCTGGCTTTATCTTTGTCACTGGCACGAAGCCACCTGCTGAGGAGTTTAACGTAGGCTACGTGGTAGCTGGGTTTCAAAAAGCCCACACGATCGGCCGAATGTGACGCCCGGGCCCCGATCTGAACGTTACGTCTGCGGAAAGACGTCCCTGAGGCGCTTCCCACGCGGCAGGCTGTGAGTCCCCTGGCCACGCGCACGCCAGGACCCGTGCGAGCCCTCAGTGCCTCCTCCAGGCCTGGGGGACGGCCCCAGGCACAGGGGCCGACCCACTAACTGGGCCGTCGGTTCCGTGTCTGTGAACGTCACGTTTTAGTTTGAATACTTCTGTGGACTCCGAGGCTGTGCCAGCTGACAGAGACGTTCAGCGTGCACCCTTTTCTCCGGGGAAGCTGGGCTTACTTTGGTGCTGTATCTGCTCATCGACGACATCGCAGAAATGGCTGGTGGTGGGGGCCGACTCTTCAGACCGGGTCTGAGTCACACCGGTTCCGGCCGAATGACGCAGCCCGACGCTGCTCTTCTGCCGGGAAGCAAGGGCGTGCGGTCCCAACGTCCTCCGCGGCGCATGGGATGGGCCCCCGGGGGTCCCGAGAGCCGCCGCTGTGAGCCCGCCGCCCACCTGCCTTGGCTGCAGCCCAGACGCCCACCTCCCAGCCCGGGTCCTCGCTTCAAACCGCGCTCTCCTTCCAGGCCCCACAAACGAGAAGGCCTGAAGGCGATCAGGTGACCGAGGCTCTGCTCACGCAGCGCCCTGTGGACGTCACCCGCGTTGCAGGTAAGAACGTTCCGACCCGCGGTCCTCTCTCCACAGGTTTAAGAATGTCGTCTACACGTACCGCATCTTCAGAGAGAAGTACGGGCAGTACCGCATACAGGTGAGGGCAGCGTTGCAAGGCCTCCTACGGCCCCAGCGGCCAGCCGGGGCCGGGGAACCCGGGGGGGATGTCCCCGGACGTCCTGCAGGGAACGGAAGCAGGAAAGCACCCACGCTTGGCCCCATTTTTGACCAACCGAGGCGGCTACTCAAACATGGAGTCACACAACCCTGGCTTCTCCGTGGCCAAACGCACCGCTGGACTCTGGGCACAGCCACTGAGCGGGAGGGGACCCCGCGAAGACCAGGATGGGGGCGGGGAGGGCAGGCAGGCGGACAGGGGGCTCCGTCGTTGGGCGAGAGCCGCAGCCGCCTCCGTGGGTCCTCGTCTTCCCTCGCTCACCGAGGGGGGGCTGTGTGCTTCCTCCTGCTTCGTTTAAACGTCCCCCTGTTGGGTCACAGGGGAAAACTGTCCTGGGTTTGCTGCGGGCGAACAGAAAACGGCCATTCACAGCCGCCCCCCGCAGGTCGGCGCCCCTGTTCTCAATCCAGGCCCACACGCTCTGGTCGTGCTTGCGCTCCTGGAGATTCGGACTCTGTCAGGCGTGGAGATCACGTGTTCGTGTGTCCCATCTGAAAGCCGCGCCTGCCGGTCCCTGAGGGCAAGGCCGGCCGGCGAGGCGCAGCCTGGCGCCGCTCTCCCTGCGGCCAGGGGCCACCCGGTGGCTCCTGCCACGTGGGGCTTCCCCGGAGCCCCGGCCCGGGGGCCGTGGTTTTTGGTCTGTCAGCTCGGGGCCGCCTGAGAAGCATCGCCGGTTGCACACACGTGCATGACGCCCGGCGGCCCTCTCGTGTCTCTGCAGACCGTGGAGGGTGCTCCGAAAGAGACCTTTTCCACCCTGAGGGAGCTGGTCTCCAAATTCAAGAAACCGAATCAAGGACTAGTGTTTCCCCTTCGAACCCCGATCGAGAGGGCCAGGCCCCGCTGGAGGCAGAGGAGCTCGAACGTGGACGTGGACGAGGACAAGGACTACGGTAAAGCCTCAGGGGGCCCTCAGTCTTTCCGGGCTGGCACGGGGTGGCCTTCCTCCCGAGGGCCCCGTCCCTCACCCGGCTGACGGGGGCGCGGCCTCGAGCCCCCAGGGTGGCCGACGCGGAGCCGGGACACCCGGGCTGCCGCCGGCACCCCCAGCCGGCCCTCGGCTTTGGGACAGACGGGCAATAGGCAGGAAAGGCCAATGACCGCGTTGCTCCGACCCCTCCCCGAGGCTCACCCGGTCCCGGGGGCCCCCTGCTTGCTGAGGGCTCATGTGGGCAGCGCTGGGGGACAAGCGACTTCAGATGCCACCACGGGGCGCAGGGAACCCAGCCTGCAGCAGCTCGGCCCAGATACCTACGGACAAGCTGTCGGTCACAATTAGCCTGACCTCGACTCAGGCCTCGGGAGACCTTCACAGGAGCCGTCTCCTCGTGTCGTGACGTGTGGCTACATCCCCAGTGAGAGAGGTTGCAGCTGTTGCTGGGCGGGGGCAGGGACTGAGGCAGAGGACAGGGCCGGGGACATCACCCCCACACATCCTGCTCTGTCTGCAGCGGAGCCCCCCCGCCCCCCGCCCCCGGGGCCTCCGCCTGCCCCCTGCCCCCGTCTCTCTGTCCGCGCCCCACGCAGGGATGAGCACCCTGGGGGCAGAGGCCCCTCCCGAAGGCCCAGGTGCAGACGTGCCCCAGGGCCACCTCCACCAGAACTTGTGGGGCAAAAAGCGCGCCAGACGGGGTGGGGCCGAGCTAGGAACCGTCGGCGCAGCCCGCGGAGCCCACAGGACAGCCCCTCAGAGACGGTCCCCCGGGAACTGGGCGAGACTCGCCAACCAGGGCCCCTGTGGTCAGCCCTGGCGGCTGAGCTCTGCGCCCTCGCTGGGAAACGCCGCCCATCAGCCCCACCGCCCCAACCCCGGGCTCCTGGGGACAAGGGGCGACCCCCTCTGGGTTCCTACTGGGGCCTGACTCATAAAGAGACCCCCGGGTTGGCCGGAGAGGCCCCCGTGGCGTCCCCGCCCTGTAGATGTCTCTGCGGTGGCCTCGGGCTGCTCTGAGCCCGGGGAACAGGCCTCCTTCCCCGGGGGCGGCTGGTCGGGCCGCCCCGGGCTCTGGGCCTCATGCCAGCCACTGTCTGTCCCCAGAGAACTGCAGCAACGATTACGTGACGGTCCTGCCCTGACACCTGACACGGCAGCCGGGGGAGAAGACGTGGGGGCCTGGGAACTGGACCCTAGGGGACAGCTCAGCCTGTCCGGTGACGGCCGGTCTTCTGACTGCAGACGTCCTGGCCACCAGCCTCCAGGCAGTCACCGCCACCTCCGGAGGACACAGCGTGGCCGCCCGGGGCCCTGCCGCCGCGCGCACTTTCCGGGCACCGGACACGGACAGCCCTCCCCAACCGCGGGGGCGTCCTGGCCGCCCCACCCCCACCGGGCGGGCCGACAGGCGCTCGGCCGGCGGCGGGAGAGCCCCCTCCCGGGGCCCATCCGGTCCTCGCCTCTCCACCTGGGACGGGGCGCACCGGCCCGCCCCTCTGCTGGGCACCAGCACCTGTCAGGGACGCAGCCTCCTGGCCGACGTGCGCCCTGCGGCCGTCACACCATCCTGGCCACGGGCCCTGAGCCCCCGGCCCGGGGGACCCGCCTTCCTCCTCCTTTCCAGCCTCGACCTTCCCGCCCAGCGTGGCCTTGGACGCACTGACGCCCTGCCTCCCGGCCTCAGGGGCGGGGCTTTGTCTGGAGGAACTTGTGTGGCTCCTGCTCCCAACCGGCTCAGAAGTGCCCCCGGAGGGTGGCTGGGCCCCGGGTCCTCCTCGCGCAGGGACGCTGAGGAGATGCTCCCGAGGGGCTGGCCGGGCCATGCCACCTGCCCTTGGGTTTTTCTCCAAGTTATTCTGGAGACAAGGTTTCGGGACAGCTGAGCAGACCCTGGGCTGGACCCCCGAGGGGGCCATGCACGCTCTTGGGCCGCAGCGACTGCAGCCGCCACCACGCGGAGAAGATGTAAACCTCGAGGCGCAGCCCCCCGCGGAGAGCGGGGGCGCGCGCCCCTCCGGTGGGCCGGGGGCGGGCCCAGAAGCAGGCCCGGCGCCCCAGGGCCGTCCTCACTGACTCCCTCTGCGAGACACAAGGGGGGTGCCCCGCCCAGAGCCCCAGCCGTCCTGGGCACAGGACAGATGCCCGGGGACGGTTCCCGGAACAGGTGACTGAGCGCGTCTGCGTGCACGGCGGCCGCCGCCCTCCTGCGGGCCAGGGGCTTCCCTGGGCTTCACACAATTCCAGCCCCAGCTGGACGAGACCGCAGTTCAGGATCGTTCGAGGGCGCCTCCTGCAGTCGTGACCTGTTTCCTGAGCGCCCAGGCCTGGGGCCCTGCTGGCCGCCGGGTCCCCGAGGGTCCGCTCCTCCGCGGAGCAAGCCCCCTAATTGATACCTGGCGTTGATGTCACACTGCACATCCCCGAAACTGGTTAGGAAAGTCAACAGCCAGGACTGGGCGTCCGGGACTGGGAGGGAGGCCTTGAGCTCGGGCAGCAGCCCCGGACCCGGGCGGCTGGCCTGACCCGTGGGCGCGGACGCCGAGGTCGCATCGCTGAGCCGCGTCACGTTCGAAACACGGCCGCGTTGCGCTGTGGCTTCCATTTCACTGGCGGGGTCAGGAGGCCAATGTTTCGTGTGAGATTTCTGCATTAAAGTTCACAAACCAAGGGGAGCTCTCGTTGACTGAATCACAACATTCTAACCATACGAAGGGGCTGGCGCCATCTTTGTCCTTTGTCACCTGTGAGGTTTGTAAGGGGAGGCAGGGTCTGCGCCTTGAAAGTTTATTTCTATTCTTGTAAAACTGAGTTTGAGGCTCATCACTGTTTAAATATCTTCACTTCTCCTGAGTTTATTCAGTCACCTTGCTACTTTTGCCATTCTTTGTTTTTCCAGGAATGTGTCCATTCTTGACGGTCTTCTCAATAATTAGCATTTAGTTCATAATATTTTTACTATTTTTATAGCTCATTTTCATCACCCCTCAAGGTAGTCCAATTTATAGATCATGAAAAATATTACAGGTTTTTTTGATTTTCCAAGTTTGATCTATCAGAGCCACAGCGCAGTCAGTCTCTCATTCTAACCCATTACGTAATGGAGTTGAGCTTTCTAATAATTGGTAACTGATTTGTCTTCGTTGTCCTCTTGTTTTTTAAGTGGATGTCCTTTTTAAAAAAAAAAAAAAAGACTTGTTCATTTTTAGAGAGAGAGGAAATGAGGAAGAAAGCGAGGGAAACGTCCATCGGTTGCCGTGCGTGCGCCGGCGGGGGGCCCCACGCACAACCCGGGCGCCGGCCCTGACCGGGGCCCGCACCGGCGGCCTCCCCCCGACACCCCACCGCTGAGCCACGCCGCTCGGAGCACGCGGATGTCTTTTTATAATTATCACCTCGATCAGTTTCATTTCGTGTACGCAGTGTTTCTCTGTCTTGTAAATTTTTTTTGGCTTCAATTATATTTTACATCATATCCTGGTTCTCTTCTAATTTAGACCTTCCCAGGATAACGAGATTTTCCAAGCCTGTGTTTTCATTTTTTAAAAATCTTTTATGTTAGCCATCTTCTGTGGACAAAATGTGGCTGGATCTAACTTTTTTCCAATTTAAGGTCCTCTCTGTGTGTGGTGAGCCCGGAAGGCTTACATTTATTACAGTTTGTTCTGTTGGAATGTATTTCTGCCACCGTGATCGGCCGGCTCTGTGTCCCCCCAAACCGTGTGCTGACGCTCTGCCCCCTGGGCTGTGGTCCCTGAGGTGGGCCTCCAGGAGGCAGCAGCTTCCCACGAAGCCCCCACTGTGGGGATTAGGCCCTTGGTGACCCCGGCGCCCCCAGGAAGGGCTGGGAGGACCGGGGGGGGGTGTGTGGCTGCCTGCACCCCAGGAAGGAAGCAGCCTCAGCAGACACCAGATCTGCCGGTACACCGCAGGCTTCCTGTGCCTTTGTTTATTTTTCTCCGAGATACTCAAAACATCTCAATTGTTGCAGTTACGCACCAGCATCTCCCTTCTGACCCCAGGGACCCCCTCAGGCTCGAATGTATCCACCCCGAGTTACTGTGAACCTCCGACACCGCCCCCGGTGGCTTCCTTCCTGTGGGCCGTCTTCCCAAAGGCGGACGGGCCCTTGTTTCAGATGCAATTACTTAGTGACCTGGCCACGAACAGAGGGCGGAGGATTTCACTCATGGTAACAAAATTAGAAACACCGTATACAGAAAAGTCACCTACGAAAACATAGTCTTTACTTCTTTTCAGTGGTTAAATATGCTCCTTTGCTTTTGTGTATTTTTTGAAATGGGATTATTTCTGAAGCAAAAAAGCAAAGCACGTTGCTGGGGGGAGAAACAGTCACCGTCGATGGCCAGGGCGGGGCCACAGCGCAAGCCCGGGCCGGGCCGGGGCCGGGGGCCGGGCCGGCGCAGAGCGCCCGTCCTTGCTTTCCTGCCTGGGACGCTGTGGACCGCGTCCCGACGTCTGATGTCCTTCCACGCGCTCCCTTCACCCAGAATCCCCACGGACTACCTGGCACGATAGCGAAGCGATGCCAGCAACTTTGCTTCTAAGTCGCTACATAGTGTAACGACCATTTTGTAGCATCACACACGCTGGAGGCAAAACCTAAAAGACAAGCCAAGAGCTCTGGCCACAAGAAAACCGCACCTGGCTGAGCCCTGGCTCCTTCTCACCTCTGCTTACGTTCAATTTCACCGTCAACTTTTGTTGGGTGGATCTGGAGGAGGCCTTTTTGTTTTGTTTCGTTTTGTTTTTTGAAAAAGATGTGTTGCTTCTCAGTGCTCCAGAGTGAGAAGAGCTCGCTGACATCCGGACCACCCGAGGCGAGCTGGAAGGAGGAGGTCCCCACTCTTGTCCCCCAACAGGTCTTTGCTAAGCGACCGCAGAGAACAGCAGGCACCTATACCTACAATGGTGTCAATGAGACTCAGAGACCTCAGACCTCCCCGCCCCCCAGCAGAGCTGCCAGCAGGAATTTGATTCAAACCGTAACAACTCCTATTTCTTTCCCTTGAAACGGTAACACCAGGAAAGGCTCATTGTTTTAAAATCTGGCTCATATGGAAATTGGTGGAAGGTGCTTCCTGGGTATTTCCAAAGCCCTCTGCTCTTTCACAGGCAGCATTTTCAGGAGGGGCCAAGAACGTCCATTACGGTCCAAGAAACAACAAAACCCCCAAAACAAACCGAGACGATTTCCTGCTGCCTCCTGTCCGGCGCAGCACGTTGCTATAGCAATCGGTGCCCCAGAAACCTTCAGACACCAGCAAGAAAAGGCCCCAAAAGAATTAAAACGAGAAACAAGAGGAAAAAACTACAGCATTCTACAATCACGACCACAACCAAAAACACCCCTCTCCTTTGCCTTGGGAAATTGAGAAAAATTGAACATCCACCATGTCTATTTTCAGATACGTATTTTGAGGATGGTCTTGAATAGTAAACCTTTGGCTGTCTGTACGCCTCACGGTATCTATATCTGACTCCCATTTACACAGTAGTTGAACCGAATACAAAATAGAGGTTTAAAGTCTTTGTCTCTCAACAGCATAAAACTGCCAGGCCATCGTCGTTTCGTGTCTGGGTCTCGCTGGGACGTCTAATGCCTGTCTGATCCGGGCGGATGACGGCTTTTCTGGAACCTGTCACGAGGGCCTGTCCTCGCGACCTTACGTTTCCCTGTGACGTTGTCCAGGTGTGAGCGTTCCTTTCCCTGTCCCCTGTGAGCGTACATACGTGTCTCAGTCGGATCGGACCTGATTCTGATCTTTCTGTACTTCTGGGCAGTTTTCCATCTTTTCTAGAAGACTCTCCCCTGCTGCAAGGCCTCGTGGAGAGGGGTGGGGTCAACTTTTTTCTTCCACGCGGAGTCGTGGGGTGCTCTTAGGAAGACCACAGCCTCTCTAAAACGGAGCAAGTGTCTCACCAATAAGTTGCAAAAAGCTGCCTTTTGCAGAAATCAGTTCCCAGAAGCGACAATGCCTCCGGCCGGCCACACGAGGTCAGACAACCACCGAGAGCGCGAGGCTCGCAGAGCTTGTTTTCAGCACGGCCGGGGACCACGGTGCCGCAGAGCGGGGCTCACACTGTGAGCAGGGGGGACCCCCAGGGGGACGCCAGGCCCGCGCAAGGGACACAGACATCGCTGAGCTGCTCTCGGGCTCGGGCCCGTCCCCGCCCCGCGGAGCAGGTTCACGCCAAAGCCCTTGGGAGCGAACGTCTTCGAGGGGCCCCAGGTCCGCTGGGCCCTGCGCGGGCGGGCGACTCGGGCACCAGGACCGGCCCCTGCTGCCGGACCCCCTCGGTCCCGGTCGGCCTCGTCTAGAAAACGGGGCCCCAGCCCTGGGTGCGAGGGGCTGTCGTCGGCAACGTGGCCCAGGTGAGCCCTGGGAGACACCGCCCCCCGGACCCCCACTGCAGCCGGGGGCCTGGGCTCTGGGGCCCCACCCCGTGCGAACCGTCAGCGGTTAGTGACGTTGCACTCAGCCCTGGAGAAGGCCCGGCCGGACAAGTTGTTTTGGGACCATGGATGCTCCCTGGAATTTCCTGGCTGGTGGGATGGGGGGACCCCGGCCCCCAGTCGCAAACACAAGCCTGCAAGTGTCTGCCTCCGAGCAGTGGGGCGGCGGTGTGCTCGGCCCTCCGCCCAGCGCAGCGTGCCCGCCTGCGAAACGGCGCCGGCCCGCGCCCCGTGCGCGGTCAGTGTAACAAGACCCTGCGCGCATCTCTCTGGACACAGCAGGGCGCCGGCCCCCGAGAGGGCCTGGGGGCTGACCCTTCCACGCGCGGTCCCCAGGGAAGGCAAACCGGACAGCGCGTGCACCGACCGGCACCGGGGTGTCACAGGACCGTCCCCCCCGGGGACCGTGGTGGCCGCCTCGTGCGGCCATCCCCTCACGGGGCAGCCCTCAGGCCCACGCTCCCCACCCGTCAGGAGAAAGACCAGACCAGCAGGACCAGACAGACCGTTTATTGCGCTGTTGGCTTCTACCAGAACACCACTAAAAATATAAATATAAAATCTCTAGAAAACTCTCAGGACAGCTCTGCCATCTTCTTCTGGGCGGGGCGTGTTCTGTCAAAAGCCCACACGTGACAGGTGTGTCCGACTTACGTGACCGCATGTGGGACAGGGGCCTGCCCCGCCAGGCGGGGGCGGTGCCATCTGCCCCTGCCCCTGGGGCCGGGTGCGCAAGGGGCCTTCAGGATAGAGAGGCGCGGGGGTGGGGGTGGGGGGCAGACAGTGGCCCCCGCTTCCCGCCGGGGACACAGCACCCCGGCCTTGCGTAGACAGGGACACCGCAGGCCCCCAGGGAAGCCACCCTCAGGGCGCACGCGGGGCCGGGACCCTGCCCCCGCCTGCCCGGGCAGCACGGCCCCCGCTGGAGGATGGTGAGGTGGCGCCCAGAGCAGGACCCGCAGCCTCTACTTGGCGTCGGACGTAAGTCTGAGGGACCCTGGGTGGCCCGGGAGGTGGTCCTGTCCCCTGCCCCCCTGTGGGGATCCTGGTCCGAGGGCGAGGAATGTGGCTGGGCCTGGGAGCCAGGTGCTCAGGGCAGCCCGCGACCTCTGCACCCACGGCCGCACCCCCACCCCCACGCTCTGTGCGAACCCGGAGCCGCCTGGGGACCCGCAGGCCCGCGGGTCGGCCTGGGCGTCCGCACACGGGGGCGCAGGGCCCTTCGCGGTCACAGCTCCGCCCGCTGCACTGCACCGCGCGCAGGCCCTCGCAGGGAGGCGAGCCAGCCCCGGCGGCTCGGGGCGCAGCCTTGCTTTGGGGGCGAAGGAAGACAGGACAGGGCACGGGGGTGCGGACCCCGGGGGGGCAGGCGGTGCTGGGCAGGTGACTCGCGGCGGGCGGCAGGGGCCGGCGCTGAGATGAAGCGGAAGTGACCGCGGGCAGAAGGCCCGACAGGGAGCGGGGGAGGGGCCGCAGGAGGGCAGGCCCCCGACGGGCCGCCTGCTCGAGGGCAGGGCCGCTCTCTTCTAGCTCCGCGGGCCCCTGCGTGGGGGCCGCCCCCCGACAGGGCCTCCTGACGACAGGAAGACAGCAGGACAGGACCCCTGGGGGAAACAGGAAGGGCGGTCACCCAGGGCGCAGGCCCAGGTAGGGCGGGGGGCCACGTCGGCCCCCCAGGACGCTCACAAAGGCAGGGCAAGGGGGCCCCGCGGCAGGGCCAGCAAGGCCGGCGGAGGCCCCCGGGGCAACCCAGGCCCCGGGAGGCGCCTTCGGCACCAGGGCAAACCCCCGCGGCCGGGTCGAGGGCAGCCTGTCCCGCCGTTAGCGGCGCTTGGCCACGCACCCCCCTGCCCCCCCGCTCGGGCCCCACAGCCCATCACTTCAGGCGGCGCTTTCAGGCCAGGTGGCCCTGGACCGCGGCCCGGGCCCAGCGTCCAGTCCGCTCTGGCCTCTCTGGGGCCGGTGCCCTGAACACCAAGCTCCCAGGCGCCCCTGCAAACGAGGCCGCATGGGTGCCGCTGCCTCACACCGGGGAGCCGGAGCGGAGCTGGTGACAGCAGCTCCAGGCTGTGAGACCCGGCCGCACGCTGCCTGGGGGCTCAGGCCCGGTCGGTGCCCCACAGGGACAAACGCGAGGCAGCAACCAGGGCCTGCGCTGCCTTGGGACCGGGGCCATCGGGCCGGGCTGCGGTGCGTGCCGGCTCTCCAGGCCCAGGCCCCCCTCAAGCCAGCCCCGTCATTCCTGACCCGGCCCGATCCCTGGCCCAGCGGATCCCTGAGGCGGGGGGCCGGGGGGGCCGTGCGAAGGACCAGAGCGGGCGTGGGTGTGACGAACAGGGAGACCGGCCCCGGGGCCTCGCCCCCGGGGGGACACGGGAGCTCTGCCCAGGCTGCCGCCAGCAGCAGAGGAGCCCCCAGGAAGCGAGGGCGGAGGACCAGGGGCGCTGGCCCGGCACCCGCTGGGGCTCCGCTGGGGCCGGGGCAGGGGGGCGTGCGCGGGGGCGGGGCGGAGGCCAGCGCAGGGGAGGTTCAGCGGGCAGAGCGGGCTCTACTCAAAGGACAGCAGGTCGGGGTGAGGCCCCTCGCAGTCCGGGCTGCAGGTCCGCGCGCCGGCACGGGGGCTGCTGTCCTGCGGCGGCTCGGCCGGGCCCGCGGGGCTCAGGCGGCGCGGGGGGCTGGCGCCCTCGCTGGGGCCGGGGAGCGAGGCCCTCCTGCCCTCGGTGGCCTTCGGCTCGGCCCCGTCCGGGCTGTCCTGGTGGATCAGGTCGGGCACCGACAGGGACACCTCGCCGTTGGGCAGGGCTGGTTCCGCGGTGGCCTCTGGCCGGGAGGCGCCAGCTGGGTCCGGCTGGGCGCTGGGCGGGGGGCCCTGGGGCTGCCCGGGGGACAGCTCCATCCCGTCCTCCGGGCCGCCGAGGACGGGCTGGGACGAGATCAGCATGTCCTGCGTGGTCTTCAGGGCCCGGGGGGTCCGCTTCCGGGTGATGGGAGGCGGAGGCTCCAGCCGCGGGAACACTTCCGGCCCGGCCGCCCTGCAGGGGCGACAACGGCGCGTGTCCTGGACGACGCCGGCCGGCCCCGCCTGCGCTCGCCTGCCCGCGCACCCGGCGTCCCGCCCGCTCCCGGCTCGCTCTCCAGGGCGGCGTGCGGCTCCGCGGCTCGAGCACAGGGGCCTTTGGCTGTGACGTCCTCGCTTGGAGGTCGGGGCACAGGCGCAGCGAGCCGTCACAGCTCCTGCGGGGACGCGGGGCCGGGGCACTCACCTGTCATCCTCCCTGTCGGCCGCACCTGCCAGCTGGGCCTCCGCCGTCCGGTTGACCTCCGTGGCGCCGATGCCACCCAGGCCCCAGGGCTCCCTCCTCCGCAACAGGTCATTCACCTTGGCCCCCACGGCTCTGCCCAGGTTCCGGAGGTGCTGGCCGCTGCCCACCCAGAGGCCCGGCGCACCAGGCTCCACCGACCCCGGGGCCGCCGCCGAGGGGGCCGCCGGCCGGGACAAGTGGGGCACGGAGCGGCTGGACTGCAGCTTTGGCGTGAGGGATGCGTTCAAATTCTCAAACATGCTGTGGTCCACTACGAACAGAGACAGAGGCGGCAGGTGAGCGGAGAGGCTGTGGACCGCGGTCTGTGTCCCTTCCCCACCCCACGCCTGGGACTTGTAACTGCGCGAGGACTTGGGACCCCCAAAGGAAGAGCCAGCAAGACACCTTGAACCTCCCTGGATGGGACGTGGGGCCGGAAGCGCTGGTCTGCCCTGCCCAAGCCAGCCCCCACCCCTAAAGCTGCCTCCTCAACTCACAGCTGCCCCCTTACTGGGGGTCACAAGCCCTCCAGAGCAAAGCAAAAAAGAAGCCAGCCACGGGATGGGGCCACCCTGCGTTGCCGTGGGCCCCCGGCCCAGACAGCGCGGTGCCGGGCGGCCGGGGCGAGGCCCATGCTGGGCTGCTCCCCGCGGAAAAGCCTTGTGCGCAGCGCGGTCCCGGGGAGACCTTGGGCGGCAGCGGCGACCTGGCCCGGGAGCCCTCCGGGCAGAGATCCTTTCTGAGCCCACAGCCTAGGAAGCCACTCTCTGAAGGCCTTCGGGCAGCGGGAGGCGGTGTGGAGGCCCCACAGCCTCGACCTCGGACACGGCCCAGGACCCTGCGCAGGAACAGCCCCCCATGGGACCCGTGGGGGCAAGACCAGGGTGTCCCTGGGACACGGGAGCAGGGCTGGCGGGGGTGGGGGCGGGGGCGGGACCCGCCCCCCGGCAGGGACGCCCAGCCCGTCCTGAACTGGGCCGTTGACGCCCTGCTCTCATCAGGGCGGGCGGCTCGTGTTCTCTGGTATAATTTGCCGACCACGTCCCACTGCCTCCTGATTTCTCCGTAATCGTGGAATCTGCAAACCAGCCGCAAAGCCCGGGGACACGAAGGCCTCACCCTGCTGTCCCCGAAGCGGGAGGCGCTGGGACTGCGGCGCTGGGGGGCGCACCCCCACCGCCCTGGGCGTCCCCGGCGGCTCCCTGGCCTCCGCGGTGGACGCTGGGGCAGGCACGGTCATCGCGAAGGGCAGCTGCCCGAGGGTCTCGCAGGCGTGAGAACCACTGCCGGGGAGCGCAAGCAACCCGGGCCCCGGCGCCGCGTGGACACCCCGCGTTCCCCGCTCGCTCGCGGCCCCGAGCACGCGTGTGCGGGGCCCTCCAGGAACGCGATGGCCGCACCGGCCGCGCGCCCCGCCACCCCACGGCCCTCCCGGGGGACACGGCGCCGCGCAGGCCCCAGTGCGTGGATGTGACCGCACCGAGGGTCCCGTGCGCACTTTAAAGCCGTCTGCGCAACGCACCAACCTTGCAGAGAACCTGGGTCTGAGCCTTTTTCAATTTAGAAAAGCCACCCAGCCGCCCGCCCTCGTGCCCGCGCCCGCGACTGGTCCCCACGGGCCCCTGGGGTCGGGCTGAGGGGGGCTGCCCTTGTCCCCGACGTGGACGCCACCTGGGTGGCCACCACCCCTGTGTCCCCAGGGTCCGCGGCGGGCCCTCCCCCGCACGCGGCGCTGCGTCCCCCCTTCCGCGGGGCCAGAGGCTCCGGGGTCTGGGACCGAGGGCGCGAGGGGGCCCGGGGCCCTCCCAACAGCCCCGCATGCAGGAGCCGTCCACGAGGAGGACGGTGTCTTACCTGAGCGACCAAGGAAGGGGCTCGGGCAGCAGGCGGGAAGCAAACGAGAGAGACAGTTTAGGAAGCAGCTGAGCACCCGGAGCCCGTCCCCTGCAGCCCCGGCCACCCCGTGTGGACAGGGACCGCGCCGCGCACACAGGCCCCGGACAGCTAATCCCGCAACGGCAACAACTAAACGGAGCGGAGCCGCGGCCTGGCGACCCCACGGCCAACCCCTGGGCCCCAGGCAAGGCAGGCGGGGGGAGCCCAGCACCGCACGGGGGCTCAGGGCGGACGGCGGGGGCGGGGCAGGCCGCAACTCAGACGCGCCGGCTCCCAGGCCCCACGCGCGCTGAGGTGCCTGGCGTCCCTCCCTGCCCGGCCAGGTCCCGGGCTCCATGCGAGGCTCCCTGTCCTGCCTGCATCCAGGCCTTGGGCTCAGAGCGAGACAGGACGATACCTCGGGGTCACGGCAGAGGCCCACACCCCCCACGTCCCCCGCTGCCCCCCCCCGGTGGGCGAGAGTCCTCAGCACCGATGAGTCCCCTCAGAAAGCGGGGTGCAGCGCCGGCTGAGTTCGCCCGTCGCGCTGGTCCAGCCCCGGGCGCCCCAGCTTACGGTCAGAAGGCACCGTGGCCCCACCCCCGCCCCGCCCCGCCCCTGCCCCCAGGCCAGGCTGCGGCAGGACCCGCGTGCGACAGGGGCGGCCTGCCACTCCGCAGTCCTGACCCTCCAGCAGGCCGCCCACGAGGTGCCTGGGGTCGGGGGGCTGGTCGTTTGCTGCAGGCACACAGCACCGACCACTGTAATGGCCTCGGGTCCCTTTTCCCAGGAAACACGGTGACGTCTGAGCACACGAGGGACCTGCTGTCGGCAACGGACCTTGGGACAGCTCAGGAAAACACGCCGCTGCCCCCAGACACCGGGAGGGCAGGCCCGGGTACGAAAATGCAGGGAAACAGTCACAAAAGAAAATTTCTGGACGTAGAACCTACGCACGTTCTTTATACTTGTTTTGTGTTTGCAAAGTTTTTGTAAGTTTGTGATTATTTCCAAAGAATGTGTGGACAGCGCACCCCCAAACACCAGCAACCAAAGCAAGCGAGGAAGCCGTGCTGTCAGCGGCTAGCAAGGCGGGGGGACAGGCAGGGCCCTGGGGAGGACAGGGGCCTCTGGAGCGGGGGCGACCGTGGCCCCAGAGCGAGGCTGGCGGGCGGCGGAACCCCGGGGCCTCCTTGTGATGTCAGCGGCCCCGGAGTGCAGGTCGTCGGGGCAACCGGCGCCTGGCGAGCAGGGTGCGACCCCCGCGCCCCCGGCAGGGAGCATGGAGCGCTTCTCGCTGCTCAGCCTCTCGGGAGCCCGGACCGCTCCCTCCGCTCCGACCGCTTTTCCCGGCCTGACGTCCCCACGTGCCACCAGCTTGCCAGGTAAACTCCAACGCGGGCCGGGGACCTTTACCGGCGCCAGCAGATCGCGTCCCATGCCGGCCCGAGGACGCGCCCCGGCAGCCGCGGCCCCGACACGGGCCGCTGACGTGTCTGCGCACAAAGCAGGCAGGGCCGCTGCCTGAGCCCGGAGGCCGCCCCCTCTCGTCCAAGGGCCAGCGGCCGTCCGGAGCGACAGCAGCAGGGTCCCCCGAACACGCGCTGCTGCGGGCGGGAGGGGCTTCACTCGGAGAACCGGCTCCGTGTCCTGGGAGGGGCCGGGTCAGGGCCCCCGGCCCACGGCCAGACCCTTTGGCGTCGTGCTACCGCACCGGGTGCAGCCTGCAGGCTCGTCTGGGGTGGGGGCTGAGGACCCACAAGCTCGCTCCGCACCCAGAGCGTTTCGCCTGCCCCCAGACATCGCCAAGCCCGTGCCCCCCACGGAGGCGCCCAGCCCGGCGCAGGCCCCGCCCCTGCCGCCGCACACGAGCAGCGCGCTCCGCCCCGGGGTGGTGCTCTCGCCAGGTGAGTCCGAGGACAGGTGCGGCTTGAACCGGGGGCCGCAGGCCGGGCCACCGCCCTGGACCCTCCTGTCCCCGCCCCGACTGACGGAGACCGGCTTCCCCGGGGCAGGCGGTGGCGGGGCGGCGGGGCGGGAGCCGTGGCCACACCCCGGGCGCGGAGGGGGCCGCAGGAGGCCCGATGCCTGGCGGCTCGCTGCACCCGTCTGTGTCTGTCCTCAGGGGAGGCGCATCAGGGACGCCGGGGTCACGCTGCCGTTGGCGGGGGGGAGGAAGGGGGGCTGCAGGAGGGGGCCCAGACGCTGCCCTCTCTCCCGGAGCCGCCGCGGTCGGGCCCGCGCAGGGGCCCTGAGGCCCCGCCCCGCCTGGCCCGCCCGTGCCGGCCCGACGCCTCAGAGCGCCCCTTCCTTTGCAGGCTGCGCCCTGGGGGACCCCCAGGACGGGGCGCGGCCCCAGCGGAGCTGCACCATCTACCGGCCCTGGTTCTCCCCGTACAGCTACTTCGTGTGCCTGGACCAGGGGAGCCGCCCGGAGGCCCGGGGCCTCCCTGAGCTGCCGTGGGGCGAGGGCCGGGGGGACGGCCGCCTCCCCGAGGACGCGGCAGACAGCGCCTGCTCGTCCTCCTCCTCCCCGGAGCACACGGGCCTCCGGGCGGCGGCAGCGGAGCCCAGGCCCGGCCCCGACGCCTCGGACCACATCACCTCCCAGGACCTGCTGAGGGCTTCTCGGGGGCTGCCCACCCAGCAGGGCGGGTTCAAGTGTGTGGCCTGCTGCCGCATGTACCCCACCCTGGGCTCCCTCAGGAGCCACGTCCGCTGCGGCTTCCGGGAGGGCTTCAGCTGCCGCGTCTTCTACCGCAAGCTCAAGGCCCTCTGGGCCCAGCCCGCCGACTGGCTGTCCTCGTCCTCGGGCGGCTGCCGGGCCCACACGTAGCCCCGCGGCCAGGCCAGCAGGGACTGAGCCTGTGCGTGTCCGGAGAGACCAATAAACCGGCTACCACAGCTCCATCGAGCCTGCGCCTCCCCGTGCCGCCTGCTGGCCCTCCGACCCTGTCCCGGCCCCCACCCCCACACGGCTGCCCGTTGCCTAGCAACCCCAGGCCCGCATCCAGGCCTGTTTCCCTCCCCCTCCCTCCCTCCCGCCCTCGACAACACCTGAAGTCTGAGGAGACCCACTGGGACGGTGGTCAGTTCTCAGCATGCATGGCCCAGGCCAGCGAGCGCCACCAGCTCCGGGGATGCTTTGGCGCTGAGGTCCCCAGGCCTGCAGGGCACCCTGGCGCTGCTCAAGCGTGAGACCCGCCGCCCTCAGACCCCGCCCTCCTGCCGGCCAGTCCTGGCCCTTCCCCGCCGCATGGGGGTGCCCGCGGCGCAGCAGAGGCCCCCAATGCTCCAGGGCACGGTGGGCAGGCAGGTGATGTGCCGGCACCAGAGGCGCGGAGAGGCCGTGGGGCTGGGCCCCCCGCCGCCCTCACACCGAAGGGCGGCCGCTGTGGCTGAGCCGAACAGACGGAGGCGTCTCTCTGTGCACGGCTGTGCGGGGCCATGACACGCAGGCACACACGTGCGCACGCTGCTTCCTGCCGCCGAGTGGTGCCCCACCGGGGCCCGCTGCTCTTTGCGGGTCCGAGCCAACTCTCCGCCCACCCTGACCAGACTCCGGCCGGTGCGGGGCAGACCCCCGTTCGGCCCGTCCTGCGGTTTAAAAAGACGAAGGGCCAAATGCACGGCGGTCTCACTCCCAGGCCTTCGCCTCTCACGTCCCCGGGGACCGAGCAGCGGGGCCCCCCGATGCCCAGGGGCACACCGAGGTCATCCTGAAGGACTGGTCGTTCTCTCCCGAGACACTGGGCCCACGGCTCCCGCCGCATCCCAGCCGTGCACCTGTCCCTGCTCCTCCCCCGTCTGCCACCCCCCGCCGGCGGCCCAGGGTCGCCCCCCACTGTCCCCTCGGGGCGGGAGGTCCCCGGCAGCCCTGACCTCGCCCAGGCCCTGGCTCCCTCGGGGAGCACACAAGTGACTCTGCTCACTCGGTCCCCTGGCTCCCTGGGCCCCGCAGACCCACAAGCTGCTGTACGTCCCCGGGGGCGGGCGGTGGAGGCCCCTCCGGCCTCGGCGCGGCTGAGGGAACCAGGACAGGAACCGGCCGCGTCGGCTCCCACGCCCGTGGCCTGCCCGCGGTCCCTCCTCCAGAACACCCGTCGCGTGCGCGGAGCTTGTCGAACGCGGAGGAAGCCCTCGGCCGGGGCCGGAGCCCAAGGGCCGCAGCACCCGCCACCCACGGCCCGGCGTCCCCGCAAGGACGAGGCGCCTCCCTTCCGCCTGTCACACGGGCACGGCCTCGCTGACCTGGGACTCCCTCGGCACCGTCCTCGGTGACGGCGGCCTGGCCCGCCCTGCCCGCGCCCCCCCAGGCCGCTCGGCAGCCGGGGGCTCCTCAGAACGAAGCCTTGCTGGCGCCCGGGGCGTCCCGGGGGCCTGTGCAGCCCCATCCACAGCTGCCGTCCCGGCCGAGGCCTGGCTTCCCCCACCCGCTGACGCGCCGCTTGCGCCCGCGCCCCCTCGCCCCCTCCTGCTGCTGAGCCCCGCGGCCCCCACCCTGGTCCCTCCGGACGGCGGGAGCGGCTGACCCAGCCTCGGCACAGACGCCTCCACGCCAGGCTCTCTCAGAGCCCGAGCAGCCTCCCACGGAGACATCTCGTCAGGGATTCAGAGGGATTTTGTCACCTGGTGATCTCGGTGACAGCTTCAAACAGCCGTAATGTCATGTTTTCCAAGCACTGAAACTGGCCGCCGCCCTCCCCAGCGCCGTCTGGCGACAGGCCGGCCGTGCCCCCACGCTGCGGACGGAGTCCCCGGCCCACCCACCACCTGCCGACACCCCTCCCTCACTGTGACAACCAGAACGGTCCCCCCATGAGGACACGTGCTCCCTGGGGAAGAGCAGCCATCCCTGGAGGGACACCCCGCCCCCGAGTGACGCGTGGACGCGGACTCGCGCCGCGGCCTGCAGAGCGCATCCCAGGGCCAGGCCACTGGCGCGGGCAGTGGGGCACAGCGAGAAGGAGCAGGTGAGCGGAAGCAGCAAGAGGAGACGACAGGAAAGCTTTAGAAATAAGAAAGGTTTATTAGCAAAAGCCACCAGACGAGTGACAGCATCAGGCTAAGTGCACTTTCAGGACAAAAGCTTTTCCCAGAGACGGGTCCCACAGCGCCCACCGCACAGCTGCGGGCGCGGGGGCCAGGCCGGGCGGGACGAGGGCGCGGGCCCCGCCCAGAAGCAGCGCGGGGAGCGGGCGGCGCGGGGCTGCGCAGAGGCCCCGCGGGGAGGCACTGTCCGTCTGTCCGCACCGGAGGGCCTGGGGGCCAGCTCCGGCGGCCACTGTCCTCCACACAGGGCAGAGCGGGAGGGCCGTGCGCGGGGTGGGGGGCTGTCAGCAGAGTGAGAGGCGGGGGGAAGAGCGCGGGTGGCCAGGCCCCCAGGCCTGTCCCGAGTCCCACTGCCCCGCCGTGCGCAACGGCCTGGGTCCCGGGGAAAGGCTGAGACCTGGCAGGCGTCCGGAAGTCCCAGGGCTCTCCGAGGACAAGGCGTGGGTGGGTCGAGTGAGGGCCTCAGCAAATAGTGTCCCCACAGCTGCCACCTCTCCTCCCCTGCCTCCTCCGTCTCCTTCACATGCCTGTGAGGACCTTGTCACAAACTGTCTCCTTTTCTCGCCCATCCACCCAAATGTCCCACCGTGTTACCCTCAACCACGGGCCCTAGGCGGGGCCTTGGACTCAGACCTTCCACTTCCTCGATTCCCAACTCCGGTGGCCCGAGGGGACCCCTCAAGGAGCCCCGCGTGGGCCTGCCCTGTCAGCCACGCCCGGGCCCTGACAGCCGGCCCTCGGCGTCCCGGGCTTCACGCCCCAGCTCCTCCTCCCCTTGCGTGTCCGCACCCACCCCCAAAGGTCGGTCAGAAAATAAAACCAACAGGACCGCCCTCTCCAACCAGAAGTACGTGAGGAAAACACGCATCTACAGGTGACCCACACGCCTAGGCACCATTCCTTCCTGTCTGCCACTCTTGCAAGCTGACATGCGTCCCCTTCCCGTACACACATGTCCACACACACCCCCCGGCCCGGCCCTGGCACCCACGCACCACGCCCTAACACGCCGCTGTGTCCTCCCCTCTCCTGCAGATCGTCCGTCTGGGGAAACTCCACTTTGCTGATCAACCCTCGGGCCACACCACACGAGGGAGCTTGTTCTCACTGCCCAGCCGCCCACAGGGTCGAGTGGCGAGGCCCAGGTGTCCAGGTTAGAGGGCGGCACACGTGCGCTCCCAGCACGGTCTCCCCTCCGTGTGGACGGCAGTGCTTGCAGGCGGGGGGTGGGCAGGACGAGGGTCGGACCTGGGCTGTGAGCAGCGAAGAGGCCGCCCGCCCGCGCAGGCCCGGCCGGCGTCACAGGCCCATCTCCCCATGCAGCACACCCACGCTGCACGCGGGGCAGGCGTCGGGCGCAGGCCACTGGGCGTGGCCCCACTACCGCATCGCACGGAAGGGCTGTGCTGCCCGCCAGGACCCGGAGCGTTGCCTCCAGGCCTCTGCAAGGACGGGAGGAGGCGGCCAGCGGGTCCTGGGTGTCCAGACACAAGGCACCTGCGAGGGTGTGCGGTCCCCTCCCAGCTGACCTCACAGCGGGGCCGAGAGGGGCTGTCCTGGGGAACCTGTCCCGCAGCCGTGGGCCCTGCAGGCCCGGGCGCCCTTCCCGAGGTCGCCGAGGGAGAGGAACGGGTCCTTCAGGGACCCCAGCCTCTTTCGCACACCTCGGAAGCAACACCCGGGTACTTCTCTGCGCCTGGAAAGCAGGGCGGCGGCCCGCCCACTCCGCGCCTACACTGCGACCTCGTCGTCCAGGCTGTCGCCCAGGCCCTGGCGCCGCCGCACGTGCAGCAGGCGCGGCAGCTCCTCCTCACTCTCGTCCGTGGTGGACTCGTACTCCGAGGCGATGCCCGACTCCCGGAACCGGAGCAGCTCCAGGCCGCCCAGCAGCGGCTGGCCCCGGGCCCCGGCGGGGAAGCGGAAACACTCCAGCTTCACCAAGCAGTCGCGCCTACCTAAGGGGCTGCCTGCTGGCGGGGCCAGGTCGGCCAGGCCCCCGCCCAGCGGCGACGAGGGCAGGTCCTCGGGCTTGGGGGTCGTGGGGTCGCAGAGCACCGGCAGGGCTCCGGAGCGGAAGGTGATCTCCAGCAAGCTGTCCTGCGATCCCACTGCAGGGGCAGGAGAGAAAGGGCGGTCAGCGCCCGGTTGGCAGGGAGGCCGCCATCCCCACTGCACCCTGACCCGCGGAGCGGGCCTCGTAGCCGCTAGGTCCTCCCTTGTTTGGGACAGCTGCCGCCAGGCCCGCGTAACGGGGACTCTGGGGCTGCGGTCCAGGCGCGTCCCCCGTCCCGAGCACGCAATGGTTCTCGGTGCCTCGATGGGAAAAGCCCCAAAGGAGACAGGGCAGCGCCGGGGCCGGCGAGGCCCAGCCTCAGCAAGGCAACTGTGGACGCCGAACAGCGGCACTCAAGGCCAGTCGGGGCAAGTGGCCCTGGATGGGAAGGCGGCCAAGACCAGCTCGGGACCTGCCGCCAGTAGGTGCACAACTGTACACGCGAGGCGGCCTCTGGTTTCTGCAGGAACACAGAGCAGGCAGCCCTGCCCGAGGCTCCTGGAAAGGCCAGAAAGGCCCTTAGGGCTCAGGGGTGGGCGGGGCTGGCGGGCGGGAGGGGCGGGGCCTGGCTTACTGGCGTTCTGTCCCGACAGCTTCAGCTCCAGCTCCTGCACCTGCCGGACCAGCAGCGACACGTGCTGCAGCGCGTCCTTGTTCTGCAGCAGGAGCTGGTGTACGCGGGCCTGCGCCTCCAGCCTCGCCGCGGCCTCCGCCGCCAGCTGATCCTTCAGCAGGTGAACCTGCAGACAGAAGGTGGCCCAGGAGGCAGGGCCAAGAGGACCAAGAAGACAGAAGACAGAGAGCAGAGGGGACGGAGAGAGGACGGACCGTGAGTGCCTGCGCGGTCACAGCGTGCCGCCGGTGCCGCAGAGGACTCCACGTGCAATCATGGGCTCAGCAGCACCCAGGCTAGTCGTCCAGAGGTACCGGAACCCGACGCGGGCCTGCAGCCCAGAGCAGCCACACCTGCCACCCCCACCCCACACACCGACAGGCAGGAAAGCCCCACCCGGCCCTTCCTGAACGGGGAGGCGGCCGCAGCCGCGCTGCCTTCACGGCTGTGGGGTCAGCGTCATCCCTGCCGCCCACCCACCCTCTTTCCCCTCCACGGCCCCGAGCCCGGGCCCCCTGCCTGGGGGACTCTCGGTCTGCTCTGGGGGGCTCTGGCGTGGGGACAATCCAGGGCCAGAGGGAGGACGTTCCCACGGGCCGGAGCGATGCTCGCACAGGCGGCCTTGTGCCTAGAAGGGCATTAAGGGGTCTCCGTGGAGGGTCCCTTAGGGACTTGGTGCCTGGATGTGGCAGCCTGTGGGAAGGGCGTTTGCTCGGGCCAACACTGCGCCGTGGGCAAGACCAGGGTCAGGCAGACGGGACAGGGAGGGACCAGAGGCAGAGGAGTTGGGAGAGCTGGCTGCTGCTCCTGCTCAGACAACAAAGGCCCCGGGTTTCAGAAGAGCCGTTGGCTCCAGAAAGAGGCACATCTTATCAGGAGAAGGGGGCAGCGCCCCCCGCCCAAGCAAGGGGCCTGCCAACCACAACCCCCCGCAAGACGGCAGCACCCCGAGTCCCTCTGGATGGGCGGCTGCCTCCCTCCTGCCGGATTTCAGACGTGACCTTGCAGTTGACCTTACGCCTAAGTGGCACCGCTGAGGAGACTGGCGGCCCCTTCCCAGTCGTGGCTCCCCCGGGGGTGCCTATCTGTCCCAGGGCGGGGGCGGGGCGGCGGGGAGGAGGCCTGAGGACTCTGGAGCCAGCCTGCTGCCCCCACGGCCTCAGCTGCTGCCCGTGAACAGGAGGAGACCCCGGTGGGGAAGACGGGGCTACGGCAGGGGCGGGTGGCGGTTAAGCCTTTATCTTCCTTGGAAACAGGCATGGAGGTTTCCCCCCGAGCGTCCCCAGACCTGCTGGTTCTGAGGAACGGGACAGGTGCTGTGGGGAGCCCCCAGAACTGCCCCAGAGGAGGGACAGGCGGGTAGAGCCTTCCAGCCGCGAGTGACTCGCTGCCAGAGGAGAACGGCGGGGAGGGACCCTCTGGGCAGGCAGGAGCCTCTCCTCTGCTCGGAACAGGGCAGGGACGCTGGGCAGAGCGTGGAGCTCAACTCTCAGCGCGCGAGCAGAGAGCTGCGACACTGCCCCACACCTGGGGCCCTGCGCCCGCAGCGGAGCGCCCAGAAGCGGCCGCTGCGGGGCCGGCCCCCACCTGCCGGTGACACCCCACCCAGGGCCCCCGCCCCCAGCTCCCAGCCCCTGGCCTGGCTAGTGGCCCGGGCGTCTAGACTCCACATCCAGCAGATGAAGGGCCAGGATCTGGGCCCGAGGAAGAGCAGCCGCTTCTGCCGGCGACCGGGCCCCGTGGCGGACGGCCCGACCCGGCGGGACAAGCGCTGTGGCTCCGCAAACGCCGGTGACGGCGCCCCAGGCGCTGCCAAGCCCCAGGGACTCGGAGCCCAGGCTGCCGCTGTTGGGGACCAGCAGGACAAGCCCCTGCCCCTGCCCCCGGGTCAGGCTCCAGCCGCCGTGCAGCCCTGGCCAGGCAGAGGGGCCTGGGGGCAGGGAAGGGGGCACCTGCCCCGGCTGGGCACACACAGGGCTCCAGCTCCGAGAACGCGCGTCCCCGGCCCGCGCCCGGCCCCGCCCCCCGCCAGACATCCATCCCTTCCTGTCACAACACCGGCCCCCTCACAGGCGCCTCGGCCTCTCCTCTCCTCGGCCACATGCTCCCTGGGGACAGCGGTTCCGGGCACAGGCTGCTGAGGGGGCCGTGCCCGGAGCGCAGCCCAGCTCTGCTTCCGGCTGCAGGCCGGTCCCCCCGCCACAGCCCACCCGGGGCCCCAGACCCTGCCCACTCGCTCTGGCCCACTTGCCTGGACTCCAGCTCCTCCGTCGGCAGTGGGGCAGGGCCAGGCTGATGCCAGGGAGCACAGAGGGGCAGGTGGGGATGGCAGCTGGGCCCCCCCACCCCGGACACCGGTGGAGGCAGGCGCGAAAGCATGCACGGCGGGGGTCAGGCAGGGACGCGGGGCGGGGGCAGCCGCAGACCACAGGGCCTGGGCCGGGCACGCGGCACTTGCGTTTCTCTGACCGCCTGTGGCACAGGCGGCCGACCGAGGCTGCAGGACCCCGCCGCCCCCCAGGCTCAGATCGGCCGCGGGGCCGGGGCGGGTGATGTTCAGGCAGCGATGCTGAGCGGCACTAACACTCTCTTCTGGGGGGGCAGGGACAGGCAGCCAACGGGGAGGCAGGCAGCTGACCCCACTGCAGCCAGCTGGCCCCGGCCCAGAGCAGCCGGCAGCTGGGTGGGCCCAGCCCACGGCCATGCGGGCGCCCGCACCCTCGGCCATGCCCCGACCGTCTCGTGCATCAAAAAGCAGGAGCTGGGGCAGCCAGGCGAGCCTCATGCCGTGTGGGGAAGGCGGGCAGAGGGGCTTGGTGTCGGCTGCGGACACACGGGGGCTGACCGGGAGTTTGGACAGGTGGCCACCGCTTCTGCCCGGGCACCGCTCCGGCCGGAGCGGCCCTGCCGAACCAACTCGGAGCCAATTTAGGGAGGGGCTGGGAGACGCTGAGGTCTGAGGCCGAGCAGGGACACCTTGGGGGGGGGGCGGTAAATGACACAAGGGACATGGGGATGCGTGTCTGCAAGAACGGTCTACCCCGGCTGTTCCCGGGGGCCGCACGGAGGACTCGACGCGCCGCGGGGTGGGGGGAGGAGAGCGGCAGGTCCTGGCACACCCGCCGCGGCGCCAGGCCAGCGGCTGTGCAGTGGAGAGAGACCCCGCAGTCCGGGGCAACAGGGACCGCCAGAGCGAGGACGAGCTGTCGCGTGCAGACCCCAAGCACAGCAGGCTCCGTCTGCTTCAAGTGCGAGGACGCCACCAGGAGACGTCCGTCAGCCCACCCTAGGGCTGGGCAGGGGTCTCCAACCGGCGATGGGGACTGTGGCCGGAGAGGGACGGAGCCCCGGGGGGAAGGAGGGGTGCGGAGGGGCCTGCAGCGGAAGGCGGGTCAGGACCCAGCCGACCAGGGACGGCGGGGACAGCAGGGAGGGCGGAACACGCGTCTGGAGGCTGCCTGGTGACCCTCAGGCCCTGTCCGACCTGCGTGAAGACACGGCGTCCACACCCTAACCAAAGCCACCCATTGCGTGGGGACGGGCGCTCATGCTGCTGGCCTTCCAATCACGGTGCCACCTGCAGGTCAGCAGGGACACGCCACCTCCCGTGAACAGACTCGAGCCCAGGCTGGGCCGGGGGCTCCGGAGGGAGGGCCAGCACCCACCCTCCGCCCCCCGCTCCCCGGCACAGACGCGAGGGCAGGGCAGCGACGGCCCACCGACACACTCGGGCCTCGCCCGGGCCGTGCCCGTGAGGGCGCCGGCTGCGGGCGCTGTGTGCTGAGCAGCTGCACGTCTGGGGCAGCCCCCAGGGCGACCCGCAGCGGGGTCCAGACGCGTCTGGGACGCTCACAATGAATGTGTGTCACCCCGTCCTCGGATAATTAGCAATTACTTGGCAGTTGATACGCTGAACAGGTTTGTATTCAGGACGAACCTCAGGGAAGGGTGTGTGGGTGGGGGCTGGGCCGAGGCCTGTGCCGCGGGGGCCCTGCCCATGGCTGCAGGCGCTAACGGGCGCTGGATGCTGTGGTTTGGCGAGCGCCGTGGTTTTCTGCCCGTGAGGCGAGGGCCCCGCCTGCGCAGCTGCCCTCGGGGGCCCCGCAAACCCCAATCCTCGGCACATGGCCTTTCTTTTCCTGTCGGAACTTTCTACAGGCTCAGACCACCTGGGAGCTGTGCCCACGGTCTCGTGACCCGGCTCCAAAGGTGCCCCCGTGGCCTGGGCGCCAGGCCCAGGTTGGTGAGGAGCTGGCCACATGCTCTTTCCAGGACCTGCGGTGAGGCAGGCCCAGAGCCGGGCGGGGGCCAGGCGCTTCCCGCTCCTGCGTCCGACGGGCGGTTCTATCTCGGGTCGTGCGGAGAGGAAGAGGCCGCGGGCTGAAACGTGCCCCTGAGAGCACACAGGGCCCCAGGCCAGGCCGGGCAGACAGACTCGGGTCTGCCCCCAGCCCCCAGCCCCGCAGGACGCGCGCCAGCAGCGCCAGCCTCCCGATGCGGCCCCAGTGGGGCAGGCGATCGCGTCCCCCCCCAGCCCCGGCCGCCCAAGGACGACACGGACGCCGGGGCCCTCCCTCGGCAGAAGGGAGCGAGGGGGGGGACTGGCTCGCCCTCCTCTGCAAACCAGCGGCCCCCCAGCCAGCCTCTAGGGCTCGAACCGTTCTCTCCTCAGGCCTCAGCCGAGCCGTCTCCCCACGGCTCGGACACCGTGGCCGACTCCTGGGAGTCGGGCCCCGACCACAAACTCTGGGCCAGCCAGGGGCCCACCCACCCGGGACGCCTGGAGAGCGGACGGAGGCGGGGGTGCCGGCGTGGGCGGCGTGCGCGGTGCGGGCGGGCGGTCTGCTGCACACGCTCGCTGAGCTCCCGGAAGGCGGGTCTCGCCGTCACAGCGGCAGGACTGCAAAGCCCCCCCACCCCCCCGAGCAGGGAGCCGGGCAGGAGAGGCGGGAGCAGTGCCAGCCACCCCCAGCCAAGCGAGCTCAGCGGGGCGCTCGGGGCCCCGCGCCACCCCCGCCGCCCCGCCCCGTGCCCCGAGCCGCACGCGCGCGGGCCTCAGCGTGAGCAGTCCCGGGCCCCAACTGTGAACCTGCCCTGGGCCCTCGCGGGGGGCGCGTCGAGCCCGTGGGCGCGGAGCCTGGCGGTGGGGAGGAGGCTGAGCAGGACCTGGGCCACGGCCACTTGCGTCTGCTGCTGCTGCTGCTGGAGGAGCTGCTGCAGGAGCTGCAGCTGGTGACGCGAGGACAGGGGCGTCCTCGCAGCCGGGTCCTGTGTGGAGGACGGGGGCAGCAGCATCCTGGGCGAGGCTGTGGGCACGGGCTCCGGCGGCGCCACCTGGAGGAGCAGAGAAGGCCGGCGTGACCCTGGGCGGGGGCTGTGCGGGGGCCTTGCTCGCCCTGGCCCACGGCGGCACCCCCGGGGGTCCGAGCAAGCCGTCCGGGGGACCGAGGGCTGAGGCGTGTGTCCGGGTGAAGAGTGGCGCCCGGGCTGGGACCCCTCAGGGCCCGCCGCAGCGGAGGGATGCAGGAGGTGACCCGCCCTGCTTCTGGCTGTGCTGCGTGGCTCTGGGTGTGGAGAGACCTGCGTTTCCAGGACGCGGCCCCCACGCCGTGGTGCGGGGCGTGGGGCGCGGGAGCCTGCCCCCGCCCGGCTCCTCGGCCGCGTCCTGGGGTCAGCCCTGCCGCTCGCCAGGGTCCACGGGCACAGACGACAGGCTCTCCAGAGTAGATGGGCTCCTGCCTCTGACAGCCTGGCCGCCCACCGCCCCCAGCGAGGGGCCCACAACCCGCGTGGGCCGGGAGCCGGGGCGGGGCGTCTGTCAGACCTCGCCTTCCGGCCGTCTGCTCTGCCCTCAGAGTGGACTTTGTCTCGAGGACTTGGTCTCGTTCCTCGTCTGGCCTCAGGAGCCCGAGGGCCTCACGGCGCCCAGCCTCCGCGGCCGCCCGCCTACCTTGGAGTCTGCGTGGGAGCTGCCGTCCTTCCCTACGGCGTCCAGGTCGGTCACCCCTCGGCTGAAGTCCAGGCCATCCGCCCCGGGCAGCGGCACCTCCACGGCATCGATGTCCGTCTCCTCCGCGGCGGCGGCGGCGCTGGCCCTCTCGGCTCCCGGGAGCTGGCGGCCTGCAGGGGAGCAGAGAAGGCGGGCGGAGGACGGCCCCGGGCCCTGCTCCCCTGCCCACTGCCCGCCCTCTAGGACGGGGGAGCTGGGGGCGGTTTGTGTGCACCCCGCCCACCTTGCATGCGGGTCCTGCTCACAGTGCCCCCGAGTCAAGCCCGGCTCACTGCGGGGACCGGACGTCTGTCGGAGGAAGGGACTGGGAGGAGGAACTGAGGATCAGACAGCGGTGGTCTGTCTGCTAAGACAGGGGCACAGGTGTGGGGGCAGGATCAGGTGTGGGGGCAGGCAGAGATGAGGGGAGGCACAGGTGGGGGGGGAGACACAGGTCTGTAGGGGGGGCACAGGTGTGTGGGGGGACACAGGTGTGGGGGGGCACAGGTGTGGGGGGAAGCACAGGTGTGGGGGGCACAGGTGTGGGGGGGGGCACAGGTGTGGGGGGCACAGGTGTGGGGGGGCACAGGTGTGGGGGGAAGCACAAGTGTGGGGGGCACAGGTGTGGGGGGGCACAGGTGTGGGGGGCACAGGTGGGGGGGGCACAGGTGTGGGGGGCAGCACAGGTGTGGGGGTCACAGGTGTGGGGGGGCACAGGTGTGGGGGGAGGCACAGGTGTGGGGGGGCACAGGTGTGGGGGGGAGGCACAGGTGTGGGGGGGCACAGGTGTGGGGGGCACAGGTGTGGGGGGGCACAGGTGTGGGGGGAGGCACAGGTGTGGGGGGGCACAGGTATGGGGGAAGCACAGGTGTGGAGGCACAGGTGCGGGGGGAGGCACAGGTGTGGGGGGCACAGGTGTGGGGGGCACAGGTGTGGGGGGCACAGGTGGGGGGCACAGGTGTGGGGGGCACAGGTGTGGGGGGCACAGGTGTGGGGGGAGGCAGAGGTGTGGGGGGGGCACAGGTGTGGGGGGGGCACAGGTGGGGGCACAGATGTGGGGGTCACAGGTGTGGGGGGCACAGGTGTGGGGGGGCACAGGTGTGGGGGGCACAGGTGTGGGGGGAGGCACAGGTGTGGGGGGGCACAGGTGGGGGGGGCACAGGTGGGGGTCACAGGTGTGGGGGTCACAGGTGTGGGGGGGCACAGGTGTGGGGGGGCACAGGTGTGGGGGGCACAGGTGTGGGGAGGCACAGGTGTGGGGGAAGCACAGGTGTGTGGGGGCACAGGTGTGGGGGGGCACAGGTGTGGGGGGGCACAGGTGTGGGGGGAGGCACAGGTGTGGGGGGAAGCACAGGTGTGGGGGGGCACAGGTGTGGGGGGAGGCACAAGTGTATGAGGGAGGTACAGGTGTGGGGGTCACAGGTGGCAAGAGGTCAGCGAGGTGCCTGCCCCTCAGGGTGAGCAGGGCGCCCGATCCAGCAGGTGTAAGAGGAACACAGGGAACCCCCATCCAGACGACGAGCGCTGGCAGAAGCCCCACTCTGGCCCGCGGCGCCGGCTGCTGCCTCCGGGGCAACGGGCCTCTCCCAGGAAACCCTCTCAGGAGTCAAGGAGACGCACGGGGCGGGCGGCCCCGCCTGGCTCTGAGCCCCGGCACGGCCGGGGCAGCTGCTGCCCAGACCAAAGGCGACCGGCCCTTGGGGTCGGGGCCAGGCAGGAACGGGCAGCGGGGGCGGAGGACGACACCCAGCGCCCTGTCCAGCCCCCGGGGGCCCCTCCTCTGCGGGGGGCGCGAAGAGCAGCAGCAATGGAGCACCGCCCGATGGGGGTGCAGGGTCCTTGACAAGAAGAACCCTGCCAACCACAGGTCTGCCCTGGAGCGCCAGGCGCCCCGGACAGCGGGAACCCCAGGGGTCCCCAGCACACCTGGGAAGCCCCAGTGGGGGAGAGCTGTGCCCCGGGAGTCTGGGGACAGCGAGTGAGCAGGTGGGGCCCCGAGGGGGGGACTGAGAGGCAGCGAGCCGCCGTCCCCCCGGCGAATGCCTCCCGCCCGGGGCGGCAGTGTCCTCAACACTAGCACTCAAAGCAGGGCAGCCTGGTGGCCGTGGCTCCGCCCTGCGGACAGAGGGCACCTGGTAGCCGCTCGGCGTGGACCTGCCACAGAACCGTGGGCTCCCGCCCCGCAGAGGCGGTCCTTCGCCCTTGGAACCGGGGCGCCTGCCCACAGGCTTTCAGGGGAGAGTAACGTGTAGGTCCGCGGACGCCACGGAAAGCACGTCGCCCCTACAACCAGTCGGGGGAAGGCTCTCCTAGGTCAAAGACTGGCCTCCCCGAACCAGGAGGGAATTCCGCCAGAAGGCGACCTTTGGACTCGCCCTCGGCTCCGCCCTGCGACCTCACCTGCGGCCTCACCGCCCCCCACCGGCACGGAGCCGTCCCTCCACAGGAACCTGCGTGTGCGCGTGCGCGTCTCCCTGACCGACTCAGCGCCCGGGACTCCACAGGCCGCAGCCACGTCCGCGCGAGGGAGGCAGGGCCCCTGCAGGTGCCAGCGCGCCCCCCGGGGAGCAGAGCCAGCACCGGCGGGACCGCAGCCTGGCCTCCGGGAGGGGCGCCCCCGGCGCGGGGCCCGAAGGGCTGCCCCCCGTGGGCCCAGGTGTTCCCGCACGTAGAAGGTCAAGGACATCCTTCTCAGGCGGCAGGACACTGGACACTGACGGTGCCGACACAGTGCAGGTCTCACGGGTGCCGCTGTGACCCGAGAGAACCGTCACCCAGAAGGTGGCGTTGTTTCTATGTTTCAGTCTGGCTTCTCCAGCCTCCCAGGTTGAAAAAGCAGCGACGGTCGGGTAACGCCCACAGGGAGGGTGAGCAGAACTACCGGCGTTAACGCAGGACAAGGAGCCCTGCAGGTGATTAGAGATTCGCGTCCCCTCTGTTTGATGACGACGCTTTTGAGCAGAACTTCCCTGCGAGCCAGACCTGGCAGCAGCGGCTCTGCCTCTGAAGTGCGAGGCCCGCGGCGGGGCGCACAGGCCCCCCCTTCCCAAAGTTTAAACGCGGCTGCCTGTCCGCCGCAAAACCGGCGAGCGCTCCCGCGAGCAACAGGAACCTAGAGGGCAGCAGGGGCGACGCCGGGCCCCGGGCCCACTGCCCCCCGTCCCCGCGCCGCGGCGCTGGCCTACCTGCGTCCCCGGAGCCGCGGCTGCCCCTCTCGCTGTCCCCGTCCTCCTGGCCGTCCGCGCTCTGCTGCGTGTGCTGCAGGCTCAGCTTGTGGCACACCTCGAAGGCCTGCCCCACCGTCCGGACGATCCGCATCGCTTGGCTCTGGGGGCGAGAGGGGGCCGTGGGGGCCTCGGCGAGGGCACAGGGTGGCAGGGGCAGGCGCAGGATGGGGCGGGGGCGGACCTGAGCTGGGAGCGGCCACAGGGAGAGACGGGCACCTGGGCGTCCGACGTGCACACTCACAGAGAAGAGTGTGGGGACACTGTCCCTTCCCGACACGCTCCAGACATTGTCACCACAGCTCTGAAAGAGCCGGTCAGTGGAAGGGACAAAGCAAGTGCCCCGGCCGCAACGCGGCCCAACCCCTCCTCCCAGCGCAGCAGCGGAGCCCTCTGCCGGCCGCCACCCACCACAAGCTCCGCGGGCTCGGTCGCGGGAGCGTCCCCTTTCTGCTGGGCGTGGCAGGTGCCTGGAGCCCCGCACGCCCAGGGCCGCCGTGCCTGAGGCTGAGACCCCGAGGTCTCAACAGCAGGGGCTGCTGGAACCCGGAGCCCGACACGCTGGAACAGGGCGGCCGCCTTAGCCGAGCGGACTCCTCACCTGGGCCCGTGGCGCCGCTTCCCTTCTGCTGCGTTTTGCCGTTTAACCTCCTCCCTGAACAGCCCAAGGGCAGAGCCTGGGCCAGGAGAGGAGAGGAGGGGAGAGGAGGCCGGGCGCCCGTCCACGAGGCCCAAGGACCCGGGTCCCGCAGCCCGAGGAGGGGCCGCACGCAGGCACCGGGCTCGGTCTGCACGGTGGATCCCGGCTGCCACCAGGCGGCTGCTCCGCTCTCCCTGCCTCTCAGACTCAGATGAGCTCATGCTGGGACCTGCGGCCCCATCCGCCCAACATTCCGCCACCTCGGACGGTCTGACCGCGGGGCAGCGGGACCCCGCAGCCGGGCGAGGCTCTCACGAGCGCGGGCGTCCCCGCCCCAGGAGAGGCAGACCGCCACACGGCGTCCAGCTCTACGCCGAGCCGTCAGGTCCGGTGGGGCAGCCACGCAACTCGCCGCGGGTGCGCCCTCCACACCACGGACCGTGCCCAGGCCTCCCCGGGGCCGCCTCCGCGGCGCTCTCGGCCCTGGACCCCGTGCGGGAGCAGCGCCGCGGTCCACCCACTGCCGCTGCGACCCACCGGGCTCCCGTGCTGTGACCCAAGCCAGGGCCCCCTGCGTCCTCCACTCTGGGCCGGGGCGCCTTGACCGACAGCCGCCCGCACGCCTGCTCGGGGCCTCCGTCCCCTCCTGCAGGCGACCCTCCGCTGCAGCCACGTCCAGTGCCCTCGCAGCTCGGCTCCTGCCCAACGCTGACTCCGCGCGTGCCTGCTCGTCGCTCCCCGACGTGCGGGGGGACGGTCATCTGAGCGAGGCCGGAGGGCCGTGGGCCTGGGTGGGTCCCCACAGCCCGGTGCTGGACCAGAGCCTCTGCTTCTGTCCAGCCGCAACTGGCTCCCACCTCCAAAGGGCAGGGCGCGGCGGGCCGCTCCTCCCCCCCCCCCCCCGCAGCCTGCTGGGTCGAAGGCACACCCGCCCTCCCTGCGCGGGTACCTGACCGGAGCAGGCCACCTGTCCTAAGTGGGGAGCCCCCCGTGTCCCCCCAGCCTCGTTTCCAAGTCTACAAAAGGCGGCTCAGAGGGCCTGCGCCCGGCCGGCCGGGCCAAGCACACACGGTTTCTCACACCTCCATGGGCAACTGAGCTGAGCCAGGAACCCGAGTGCCAGGGTGGAAAGGAGAAGACTCTGCTCCCCGGGCCCCTCAGGCCTTCTGCTGACCTGCCCTCTGTGGCTCCTCTTCCCCGCCGCGCCCACCGCCAGCCCAGCACGCCGCAGCGAGGGCGCGCCTGGTGCCTGCAAGCAGGGCAGGGCCCGACACAGAGCCCCCGCCCAGGCTGCGCTTAGGTTCCGACTTTCGGGGGTTTTCGCTCTTAGGCACCTTTCCAAGAGGCAGACAAGGAAGACGTGGTCAAGGGGGGTGACTTGCAGGGGACACATGTTGAGCTCCATTCCTCATTGCGCATACACGGGCCAGGCCCTCCGTCACGTTGACACCATGCCGTTGGGCTGGCCTCTCCGCCCCGGCGGCGACCCCCGGAGCGTGGGCCCAGCGCCCGCCCTTCAAGTCCGGCTGCACCGTGAGGTCCAGTCACCTCGGCCGCCGCCGCCCACTCTCAGGCCCTCCCAGGAAGGACACGCAGCGGCTCCTGCTGCCTCTGGCCCCCGCCCCGCCGTGACTCGCTTTCAGGATGACAGCGAGCGTTCAAGGCCCTCAATCCAGTGTCCCTGAGTCTGGGGGACAGGCCGGGGCGGAGCTTCTAAACGTCTGCAGAAGGAAGCACCCAGGGCCAGCGAGGGGACACAGCAGGGGGGAGCGGCGCCCCAGGGCCGGCTTTCTCTGGCCTCTGCAGCCGACCGGGGCTGGCGGGACGCGCTGGGGGGCGAGCACAGGGCAGCCTGGGCTCCAGCTCCCGCCCGGCCGCCTTGCAGGGACAAGCGTCCGAGCCAGGCCGTGGGTGGCCCGTCAGAAAGCGGGTGGGCCCCACGGGTCCTCCCCCCGCTCCCCCGGTGTCACTCGGACACCTCAGTGCGCTCACCGACACGGGCTGCCGGTGCCCGCCTCCCCGGCTCCCTCGGAACGGGAGCAGGCTGGGGGAGCCGACGCGAGCACCTCCCCCCCCCCGCCTCCTCACGGGCGGTGGGGGGACGGCCCAGCCCTCAGCCCCGTCCGTACTGCCCCCCTGCCTCCGGGGCACGCCTGCGGCGTCACTGGGAAAGCGGGTCGGTGACGTCGATGGCCTGTCCTCTGCCCCCAGAGGGACAAACACAGGCTGAGGAGGGGCCCCCAGTGCGTGGGGCACACAGGGAGCACCCAAGACACGCTTCCCTCTGAGCGGGGAGTCCACGCAGCGGAGGGCAACGAAGGCGCGACACAGTTCCGGCAGGTGGGGGTCGCTCTGTCAGGAACAGAGGCAGAGCGTGAGGGAGCCGGCCCGCGTCAGAGCCGGCCCCCGAGGGGCAGAAGGGCGCGCCTGGTCCCGCGGCCTTGGGTCCGAGCTCCTGGGCGGGGTCTGCTCCAAGGACCCTGGGCGGGGCCCTGGTCTGCGCCCTGGGGCTGCTGCCTCTCCTCCATCTGCCCTCTCCTGGCGCGGACCACACCCCAAAGAGCCCTCCTCACTGAGGACAGGGTCGGCTACGCTGCCTCGCTGCCTTGCGCCTCACAAACAGTGGCGTCCACCGAGAAATGCCCCCGCCCCCGCCGTGCTAGGGTCGGAGGGCTGGACGGCTCGCGTCTCCGGACGGCCCCGTGAGCAGAGGCCGGCGTCCGTTGCCGCGGAGAAATCTGCCTTCAGGGGGTTCCACACGCGCACCTTCATGGGGCCAGACGGCTGGAAGGTCGGGGGCAGGGGCTGTGCTCCCTCCTGGGTGCCGTCGGCCACGCTGGCCCTGCCTGTGCTGCCTGCCCCACGAGCCCCCCGGCAGGACCACGGGTCCCGCCGGCCCCCTGGCGGGCGGGGACCCCACGTGCTGGGCCTTCAGAGACAGATCTCTGACCAAGAGCCGCTGCGGGCCCCCAGGTCACAGGTAGGCCGCTGCTCGGGACCACAGGCAGGCCTCAGGAGGCCCCCGCGGAGGGTCCCCGGCGTGGAAGGTCGCAGGTGTGCGCTGCAGGTGCGCCGCACAGGACACAAGCAGGGTGCTGTCCAGCGGCCTTTTTCAGCTCCAGGGCCTGGCTGTTCTCTCGAACTTACTAGATGTTTTCCAGAAGCAGAATTTTGGTACAAATCCAGAGCGGTTTCGCTTAAGCCCCTGAAAGCACTTGGCCTCGTGGATCGTCTTCCCTCAGCAACCCCAAGGCGGCCGCGCGCTCCCCGTTGCCCGGATGCGCCGGCCGTGGTTGCTGGGCTGCCTTGGGAGCTGGGAGGACGCGCCAGCCTCGGAGCAGCGCCCGGCCGCACGTGGAGACGCCGGCACGCAGGGAGATGCCGGCGGCGGGCATCTCCGTGGAAACCCAACAGTGCCCCACTTCCCCACTGCGCGCAGACATGTTTCCTCAAACCGCCTTCCGACGCACAGCAACAGGCCCCCAGGCCCCCGCGCCGCTCGGCGCGGGTCAGGGCGCAGCAGCAGCTCTTCCCCCTGGGAGCTGTCACTGCCGGACGGGTCCCCGCGGTCGGCACTGACTGCGGGAGGGAGGGGCGTCCCCTCAGGGCCGACAAGGCTGCAGGGGCAGCTGACTCCCGCCCTTCCTGGTCCAAGAAAAGTTACAGTCGGCCATGGATTTAGTTTCTGTTCTCCTGGCGCCTGACCGTGCGGTCGGTGGGCCCTGCAAACTCCGGGAATCTCAGTCCTGCGCACGCGTGGAGAAGGGTCATCGCGAGTCTCACTCTGCCACTGACTTGACCAACGACCTCGGGCACCGGTCCGAGGGCCACCCCTGGGAAAGCTCTCGGCTCCAGGGCCCGTGGACGCGACGAGGAGGGTCAGCGGGCAGGTCAGGGAAGGAGGCGTGGACACTGGAAGTGCAGGTGCCCGTGCGGACGAGGATGACAGTGACGACGGCGGGAGAGGGGGGACAGAGCGGCACACGTCTCACGAGTGTCTTTACTCGCCGAGCAGCCCTGGACTCGACGGGGCTTACACGCCGCTCTGTCCCAGCCGGGGACCCGCAGACACGCAGCCCTCCCAGGGCGTGTGCACACGGCTGCGGGGGCCGGTGGCGGACAGAGGACCCAGAGCGAGAGAGCCGACCCCGCGGACGCCGGGAGACCCGGGGAAAGCGACGTGACAGGAAGGTCACCGTGCAAGAGCGGCCTCCCAGGACCGCCGACCCCGCGCACACTGCCTGAGGACACCCCGGTCCTGCGGTGCGGCCCCGCGTGGGGTCACCGCGCTGTGGCCGGGCCCCGGTGCGTGGGTCAGCTCCGGCCTGTCCCCCGGGGCGCAGGCCCGATGGCAAACGTGCCCACGCGTCTGTAAGCAGCTGAGCACGAAGGCCGCCAAAACGGAAGGGAGCGCCACGATCGGGGGGCGATGGCACGCGACAGGGACGCCCCCCGGCCCCCAGCCCCGATGTCGCCTGTCGCCCGGGAGCCAGGTCAGCGGGGGGCGGGGGGGGCCCTGGGGCCCTCTGAGGAAAACAACAGGTGGCTCGTGACGGTCTCTTTACCTTCTTCTTGGACTTGAAGACGTTGCACCTGAAGACGTTGCTGGCACCGTCCCGGGCGATGTAGCTGAAGATCTTCAAGTCCTGGGAGTCATGGGAGACGTAGAAGATCCTGCAGGAAAAGCAACAGAAACGTGTGCGGAGGACGGCGGCGGGCGCTGCGCACATGGAGAGCCCGCGGTTGGGAGCCCGGGGACAGGGCTCGCCGGCCCGGCGGCTCGCGGGCACCGACCCCGGCCCGAGGTGGGGTGGGCGCAGGGACCCCGCGCTGTGACCGTCCTGCCCACGTGCCGGCCCGCAGAAAACAGCTCTGCCCTCCTCAGAGCAAGGGGCCTGCAGGAGCCGGGGGCGGGGCGGAGCCGGCGCACCCCCTCCCCCGCAGAGCGCTGAGCCCGCCAGCAAACGCAGGCGCCCCCTCCGGGAGCCACGCGCCCTCCAGTGACCGTGGGTCCAAGCACCAGCCGCAGGGGCTCCAGGCCTGGCCCGCGCTTCCCGACGCACCCCCGACCGCCCCCCGACGCCCCAGATTCGTCCTGCCCCCGGCGCAGTCGCCGGCTGGCAAAGGTCCCCCTCTCCCGAGCTGCCCCCGTGGGGCCGCATGCGGGGCCGCGTCCTCGACCCCCCTCCCTGTCCTCTGGTTCCGGTGGCGCCGGCTGGACTCTGAGGCCGGTGTGTCCCTGCGACGCCCTCCTGCCCTCCGCTCCACGGCGCCCCCTGGGCGCACGGCCCGCATGCCCGCCGGGCCGTCTGCGGCCTCGGTCCCTGCTGCCCAGCGGACCCCGCACGCGGCGCTCTGGGCGGCCCGCCCAGCGGCGTTTTCGAGCACGAGGCCTGTCACTCCTCACGGAAGCCACGCCCAGCGTCCCACTGTCCTCCGGACCAGCTCTCTCTGGCTCGTCTCCCCGAACCGGACCCGCGACGTCCTGCTTTTGGGGCGGCAGTGACGCCCCTCCAGCCTTTAGGACGTGATCAGAGGCGCCCCCCCGCCACCTCCGGGCTGCTGCCCCCGGGCTCCCCTGTCCCCGGGCACACGCCTCACATCGGGACACCCACGGCAGCTCCTTGAGGGAGGAGGCCACGCCCCGGGCCCCCAGCGCCGCTGCACGCGGCCCCGTCTCGCCGCCGTCCCCGCCCGTGTTCCCTCGGACGGCCAGGCCACGTGTCCTCACCGGCCCTTCCACGGTCTCACGGCCGCTCTGCTCTGATCGCCCCTCCCCCCGTTCACGGGCCCCCCTGCCCTGGGGGTCCCCCAGGGCGAGTCCCTGCAGCCCCTGCCTCCTCCTGCCACCCTCGCGCACCCCAGACAGCCCCCGGCTCAGGCCGCCACTGGCACAAACGCTGAGCAGCCACAGAGCCGGGCCACCGTCCCCGCGTCCGGCGCCTGAGGTGCTGGGACGCCTTGTTGGCCGGTCACCACACTGGGCCGTGCTGCCGGCCTGCCCCCCGTGCAGCCTGGCAAGCAGCCTGGCTCTGGGGCCACAGACACCCCAAGACCCCGGCTGCCGAGAGGGACGCAGACGCCCGCGCCGCTGTCCCCGTGCCCGCGCAGACCTCCAGCAGGAAGTGAGCCGTCAGCTGCGCTTCAGATCCAGTGGCAGCCGGACGAGCGCTCGCTCACCCCGGAAGCCTGGCCGGGCGCCTGCCAGCCTGTCCAGCGGCTGATCTGCTTCAGCGTCACAGCTGTGACACGCTCCTCCCTCCGTCCCCCTGCGGCCAGCCTGCCGGCCGTGGCCACAGCCACGGGACGTCCAGGGGCCGGCGCCCCGAGAGGGCGACTTCGTCTGCCCAGCCCTGGACAGACAGGCAGGCACAGCCGCGCCCTCACGACCAAGCCCCGCACACAGGGCGAGCGAGGCCTTAACGTCTCTCCCACAAGGCGACCTCCCTGTGCAACTCTCCCCTCTGGGCCTTCAGATCCGAGGTCCGCCGGCGGACAGGCCTGTCCTCTGCCTCGAGGCCCGGCCCCCACGGCAGCCGGGTGTGCGGCCTCAGACGCCGGGCCCGCTGTCCCCGCGCCCTGCACGGTTCGTTCTCTTGCTTTCAAGGCAACGGACACCTTTCCTCAGGTGGAGGGAGGGCCAGGCGTAGACGGGTCCAGGGCAACACGGTCGCCGCCGAGAGCACACAGCCCTCACCCGCACCCCGACCTGCACGGGCCCGTGAGCGTGTGCGACCAGGCGGAGCCCGCGGGGGCCCCTGGCTCCCCACCCCCGACCCCGCGCAGAGAAAGGAGGTCACGTGACTTCGCCCGTGCCCATTAGAACACGCGTCCTTGCCGTTCTGAAGTTAACATGCTGTGTGACCGCCCCCAGTCCCCTCCCGCCGGGTGGCGTCCGGCGCTCTGCCAGCAGGCGTAGGCTGGTGGGCGGGTGCACTCACCCCTCCGCGTTCAGCGCTCGATGTGCCTACAGAACAAACGCACCACCTCCTGGGAATTCGGCCAAGGCCTAAAAAATCACTTCAATTTACTGGATATGGATTGAGCATAATCATGTGCGAGACAGCGGTCAAGGAGACAGAAAGACTGAGGTAGTTCCTGCCAAAAAACGGGAGACGGGGCACAGGCAGCTGCAAGAGCACAAAGAGGCAGCCGGTCTGAGCCGCAGCGGGGGTGGGGCCTCGGGGGGCGGCGGGGGGGAGAGGCCTGGGGGCGTGGCTGCAGATTAGCCTGGGGAGGTGACCGAGAATGTGACGAACTTGAGGGCAGACTCTGAGCCCACCAGGCTGGACGCGATCCCTCGCAGCCGGATCCCCCGGGCCCCAGCAGGCGCAGGCACCGCTGACAGTGCGGCCTTCCCTCCCCTCATCCTGAACACCACGCGCGGCCCTCGGGCCCCGTCACCCTGGGGTCCTCCTCCCCGGCTCCGCAGCCGAGGCCAATCCGGCCAGAAAGGAAGCCCAGGCTCCTGGCCGGCCGCACCCGCGCCTTGGCCTCTGCGCTGTGGGGCAGAACGGCTGAGCCGCCAGAAGGCCGCAGGGTGACGCTGGCGCCCCACGGTCCTGTCCACGCTCAGGGCTGTGGCCGACGCCCCGCATCCTGCGACCGCAGGGCCCCCGGGACCGGAAGCCCCTGCTGCCACACACCCTCTCCCTTCGGCGACCTGCGGCCCACCCACCCGGATGCTCGCGCGGACCCGCTGCCGCGGCCAACGACGGAGGCTCAGTCATCTCCCCTCCTACAGGACGGCAGCCAGCGGCAGGTGTCCCAGCTTGAGAGGCAAAGCCCGGCAGCGGCTCACGGCGCCTGCTGGTGCTGGGGCTCCAGCCTCGGACCCGAGCCTCTAGGGGCCTGTGCACCACCCAGGGCTCGGGAGGCGGCTTCTCCAGACGCCTAAAGGCGGAGGCCAGGCCTGCCTGGTGGGCACCCAGCCAGCGCCTCCACCCCCACCCCCGCCGTCGGGGAGGGGCCGGGAGAACGGCGGGTTCGACTCACACAGGCCGCAGACTCCGCAGGGCTTTGCCCGAGTTCTGCACTGAACCCCTTTCCTCCTCCTGGGGGAGCCGCCCGCCCCGACGCCGGCAGCGTCCGTCTCGCGAGGTTTTCTCACGTCGGCCCGACTGGGTTTCCCGTTAGCGGTGCCCTGGCCTCAGGGCCGGCAGAGCGGCAGCCGGGCTCTGCCCTCGTGCCGGAGCCCTTGCCACGCGGGGCTGTGCTTCCGCCCCCCGACAGGACGGAAGGCTCGGCGGCCTTCCCGCGAGGGCCACGTCCACAGAGCCCCGGCGGCTCCCGGCTGAGGGGGCCACGCAGCGTCCACGGAGCGCCTGCTCTGCACTACAGGCCCGTCCGGGCCCCGGGGCCCTGGAAACACCCGCCTTCGCGAAGCTCCTGTCCCAGGACCAAGTGTCTGCCTTTGGCAGGACGGAGGTCCCTGGGGAGCCTGCCCCGCCTCCCAGACAAGCCGACCCCCCCGCACCTGCTCTCCGTGGTGACAGTCTCTCCCGACCCTCCCCGCTGCCTCCTGCTGCCGTCAGCCCGTCCAACCGTCTTCCCCGTGGTTCCGAGGTCACAGCAACCTCTCCCCGTTCACCCGGGGCCACCGCAGCCCTGGGCCACCCCTCCCTCGGGAGCTCTGAGGGCCCAGCCCCGCGGGGCGTCGGGGCCCAGCCGCAGCGGCGACATCGGACTCCCAGGAGCGGCTGCGCACTCCTGTGCAGCGTGGGACTCGGACGGGCGTCGGGGACCCGGCCCTGCCCTCCTCGCACGGCCTCCTCGCGGCCTCGCGTTTTGTAACGAGCACGTGCCACTCTGGGGGCTTCACCCCTGCCTCCGCCCTGCTCCCTGGACACGCCCCCGAGAGCGACGGCGGCAGAGTGGACGTGTGAGGACCCGGCAGGAGGCTGCGCCAACCGCCCCTGCGCTCGGGCGCTGTGCACTGTGGCGGGCGCCAGCCCGTGAGCGGGGAGGGGGGGAGGGGACCCGCCTGCGGCACGGCCCACGGGCGGGTGGGGACCAGCCCGCCCCGGGGCATCGCAGCGCTGCTGGCCGTGCACGGGGGCAGAGCCAGCTGCTCAGGAAAGACGGGGGTGCACAGGACCACGCCTGACGGGAGGAACCCAAACGCGAGGACCATGGCCGGGGGGCGGGGACTGTGGAAGGAGCCGGAAGCAACGTGCCTGGAGGTGAGGGGACGGCACACGCCCTGCTGGCTGGGGGGCCGCCGAGAGCTGGCGGGTGGGCCCGAGCGGGCGAGCAGGGCGAGCGCGCGGCCTCGGGAGCGGACAGAGGGCGCGGGCCGCCGGACGGGCGCGAGGGCGGTGACGGCTCCGGCAAAAGGGACACAAGGCGCGAGGTCTCGGACCACAGCCCGGCAGGCACCTCCCTGGGGCCTCGGTGCAGCCGGGCAGGGGGAGGGGCCTCCTCGACGTCAGAGACAAGGCGCGCTCCCTCCCGGGACACGACGTCAGAGACAAGGCGCGCTCCCTCCCGGGCTGGTGTCCGCACAACACAAGGTCTCGGGGACACGCACGGGAAGCCTTCGCGTTCAGACTCGGGGGCCGCCCGCCTGCCGCCGTGTCCGCTCGCACCTGTAGATGGGGTCTTGCATCACCAGCATCTTGCTCTCGTCCCACGTCCACTCCTTCTTCTGCAACAAAAGAAACTGTAAATGAATGAGTCAGGCGTGTCCTCGGCTGCGGGAGCAGGGCGCACGCCACGCTGCAGACACACGGGGAGCCCTCGCGCTCGCTCCCAGCCCCTGCACCTCCCCCACCAGCCACGCCAGAGGCCTGCCATTGGCCGTTCGAAGGACACGTGTGAACGTCCAGTGTCCGGTCTCCTCGCCGCCGCCAGCACTGGAGGCAAGTGTCCCCTGGGCGCAGAGGCCAACCTGGCCAGGATGTGGCGGAGGAGCAGGAGGAGAGACACTGTTTCGGGGGCCGGAAACCCGGGCCCTGCAGGCCCCCCCCCAGGTGGGGTCGGCACGGGGCATTTCCTGGGGAGCGGCCTTTCTCTGAAGCTCTGAAGAGGCCGGCACACGCCCAGCGACATGCGGTGGGAGGGGAGCAGGGCAGGCCTGGCTCGGCTGCAGCTCCGCCACCGGACAGGGGGTCTGGGGGCTGGGGTCCTGCCTGAGCCTCGTTCTCTTGCAGGACGAGCCTAGCGAAGGCCCCGCCTGCTGGGACAGCCGAGAGGTTGACGAGGGCGCAGGACGTCAGGCAGGGCCCGGGGCCCACATCCCACGGCCTGGGACCGCCGGCGGTCACCGCGCCGTGTGCAGTGACCCTCAGCAGCTCGTCGCTCTGCTCCCCCCCCGCCAGGCAGAGAGACGGAGAGGAGGCGGGCCTGGCCCGACGCGGGCAGCTGCGGCCGCCGTCTGCCCGAGAGGAGCCGCAGCAGCCAGTCGCACGATCGATCCTGCGGCCAGGGCCCGGGCTGACAGCCAGCTGCCCGTCCTGCCTGGAAGCCTCGTCCCTGGCACAGGAAGGCCCTTCCGGGACGCTGCCTGCGGGGCCCCACTGTTATGGGTTTACAAGGGAAACCACACGAAAGTGCGCCGCGGGGTCCGCTGGTAGGAAAGCCCCAGGACCGCGCTCAGGACCGGCCTCCCGCACTCAGAACCGCACTCCGCGGCGAGCGGCGCGGCTGCAGGCGTCAGCAGTGGGAGCCGTCACCTCACAGGTGCAGCAGGGACCGCGGCTCGGGCCTAGCGGGAGCCGAAGGGGACGTGCATACAGGGGCACTGGAGTGACGCCTGGGGTCCCAGTAGCTGTGTTCACGCCACAACCCTGAGCTTCACAGGCGTTCGAGGTTCTCTATCTGCGGACGACATCGCTCTTACTGCACAGCAGTTACTACTGTGTTGCTGCTACTGCACAGTTGTCATTGTGCAGTTATTACGTAGCTGTCATTGTGGAGTTATTATATAGTCGTTCTTGTATCACTATCATAGTTGTTACTGTACAGCTGTATTGTTGTCACAGAGTTGTTATTGTATAGTTGTGTTGTTACATAGTTGTATAGTTGTTACTGTTGTATAGTTGTTATTGTTGTGTAGTTGTTGTTACATAGTTGCTGTTATTGTGTAGTTGAAGCTCAGGGACCACAAGGCCAGGGTGGGCAGAGCCAGGACTAGAACCCGGGTCTCAGCTCAGCTGAGGGACCCCCACACACCACCTGGCCCAGAGGCAATCAGTCTGCCGTCTGTGGGCGGAGGCACCAATCCGTAGAGGGCATCAGGCCGCACGGGGCCTGGGGCCTGGGGCCCGGGGCCGAGGGTCACCAAGGACCAGCGCGGCCGCTTCTGCACCTACAGCTGCCTGGCTAGAGGTCTGGCTGCTGACCTGACCTGGACAGCCACCACCGGGACCTGCCAAGGGCTCCTTTCCTTGAAGACAAGAGGGCACGTCCACTCTCAGTTCTACAGGCACGCAGGGAGGCGGCGTCAGCACGCCCGCGCCCCCGAGGGCTGTCCCGAGGGAGCGAGAGGCACAGGACGGGCGGCAGTCGACAAGCCCCATCCGTCACAGGAAGTGTCCCCAAACACGGCGATCAGAGGCACCACCCGGAGCTCGGCAGGCCCTGCAGCGGACGCCAGGCGCGGGCGGGGTGGACAGGCTCAACCGAGGCCCCCCTTCCAACGCGGTCCGATCTCGGCGGACCAGTCAGACCCCTGCTCTGGCCAGCAGAGGCTGCGCCCACACTGGGGTCCCACGGCTCCCTGGGGGGGACGCGGCGGGGGGGGGCCCGCCTCTGCCAGGCAACCCCTCAGCATAGTCCGCCTGTGTCGTGTGATCTCGGGCAGACTCACACTCCGAGCTCGGGTTCTCCACACACAGGGCGGGGATGACAGGTAGACAGTACGTGGCTCGCGGGGACACAGGAGACGGGCCCCTCAGGGCAAAGCCGGGAAGGCACCCGTGTTCAGGCCAGAGCTGTGCCAAGGTACCCAAAGGGACAGGACAGCCCAGGTCAGGGGGCCTTGAGACAGAGCCCAACAAAGCGAACAGAGGCGGCGTTCGGTCGGGCGGAGAGGCGCGGCAGCGCGGCGGGGTGGGGGCAGGGCGCCCCAGGCCCGGAGCCGGATGGGGCCGCGGCCCCCGGGGAGGTCTGCGGAGTCAGGTGCCCCGGCAGCTCTCACCGTCCTCGCAGCTGTGGGTTCTGAGGGAGTTAGTTCCTTACAAACGGGGGTCCTCCTCTATTTATTTCCTGTTCACCTCTACCCCTGTATCCATAAACTCTTTCTAGAACCAACCCTAAATACATGCAGGGAGCGTGAGAGGACAGGTTTTGGCTCCTTATGTGGGTCGAGACCCCTGTTAAGTGCACAGTGTCCAGGGATGGAGGGACCGGGCCACCTCGGGAAGGAGGGACACACATCCCTGTCACGGGCCGGTCCCACGCTGGGTGAGGCCTTCTGCAAGGAGGCAGCGGCGTCACAAGAGGACACACAAGAGGACAGTCCTTGAACATCCCCCCGACCACTGACACCCAGGCCCACGCCACCCACGACTGCGGGTCTGTCTCAGGTGCGAGTCGCTGGAATCAAAGACGACGTGGGCGTGGATGAGCGGCAGCCTGCGAGGCCCTCGCGTTCGCACGCGGCGGTGCCGCCAGCAGCAAGCGAAACCAAAGTCCTCCGCCGAGCCCGGCGACGGGAAGGCTCCCCCCAGGGCCTCTGTCGGCCAGGTCCCCTTCTGCTTCCTTTTGGGAACACACCCCCTCCCCTGCCCACCGTGCGACTGCCGCCTCCCCCGGGCTGACGCCATTCCCTCCCCCACGGCACACGCACACGAGACAGCCAGTTGTCGAACCACAGCGCACACCCACGCGCAACCCACTCACAGGAGGGCCGGCCACGCGTGACGCCTCCCGGCCCCCGCGCCGCGCCCAGCCCTCCCGCACCCTGAGTGCGGCTGGGCCCAGAGGGGCCGCTTCTGCGGTGGGCTGACTGCTGCAGCTGGGACGGGGGAGGGCACGGGGACACGTGGCGCTGGCTGCCACGTCCCACGGAGGGGGCAGTGCGGAGGGGGCCCACCCCCGCTGAGCCCCGCTGCCGATCGCCACCAGCCTTGATCGTTCCCAAGATCAAGACTCAGAGGCGACCTTATCGTGTGAGCGCGGGTGCACGCACGCTGTGTGGGGGCTGGTGAACACGAGGGCACCGGGCCCCGAGGCCCAGCCTGGCTCCGCGGCGACGGCGGCCCCGCCCCACCCCGGACCCTGGCTCAGAGCCACTCACCTTCTTCTTCTTCTTCAGAATCACCTTCACTCCGTCCACCGAAACCATGATGCTCACTTTCTTCTTCTTGACGTTCTTCGCCTTGAACTCGTACTGCGGGAGAGAAGGTAACAGGGAAGCGCAGTCAGAACGGAGCACCTGCCCGGCCCTGCTGCTGGCGACGCCGCCGGAAGGGCCGCGGGCGGCCCGGGTGCTGGGGCGGCCCCTGCGGACACGGGGCACCGAGCGCGTCGGCAGGCGGGGGCTCGGGCACTCCGGGTCGGAGCAGCCACTCTGAGCGGCACCGGTCCCGCCGCTCGGCCCTCAGGCAGGACCACGGAATGGACCTAACATCCCCGACCACGTGAAAACAGTGCCTGGACAGTCTCGTCAGGGACCCAGAACCGTCCCTAGGCCGCGACGCCGACTACTGTGGCTCTAGGACCTCAGCTCCGCGCTTCCCACGCGTCCCCCGACACCTGCTGCACGGGTCAGTCCTCGGCTGTCCCATCTGCCCGCACAGCCCCTGCCCTCCCCTCCCCCGGCAGCGAAGCCGAGCAGCACGCAGGGCTGGAGCCTCTGCCGGCTTCGCGCCGCCCCTGCCGCCTGGTCTGAGCGAGCAGGCGCCCGCCCACCAGGCCCCGGCCTGCCCGTGTCCCCAGACGACCGGCAGTGGCCACCCCTCTCCCGCTTCTTTGGCCACCTTCCCACCAGCTTCGCTGACCCTGGGGCCCTTCATAACCAGGGCCCCATGCCTACCCTGAGGCTGGCGAGGGGCGCCCGGCCAGCCCCCCGCGGCGCCGCTGGAACCCGTCCCTTCCGCCTGCAGTTTTGCCGCTGTGGCTGTGCCTTTCGATCCCTCGTCTTGAAAACTCTGAACGCCAAGGAACCTCCCTCAGAAACTGGAACAGCCCTGGCATCAGCGCTGTGCACGCAGCCCCGGGAGCACGTGGGGTGCGAGGGAACGCAGGGACCACATGGACAAGCGGGGTGACCGAAGGCGCATGGGTGGCTCCAGCATCCTCGTCGCCGCAGCCGGGATGCTCCACCCCTGGCAGGGCCCCTGGGTGCTGCTGACACGGCTCTCTGACCGTCCCCCCCGCAACCAGCCGGCCACCAAGGCAGCAAGGGACTCCCCCGAACCTGCCCGCACGGCACCGCGACCTTGGCCTTGCGGCCCCACCACCACGAGCACTGAGCATCTGACGCTGTAGGCCGCCCAGCCTGACCGGCCCAGCCCCGCGCCCCTCACTCACGGATCCACGCACACGTTAGCCCCGGAGCAGCCAGCCCGCAAGCGCGGTAAACCGCCGTGAGTCATCGTGGCCTGGAACCTGGAGGGGCCCCCCTGCCCAGCGATTTTCAGAGCCAACGGGTAAACTGCGTTACATCACTAAGAGTCTCAACATCTTGTAAACACACCCCATGGTTTTCGCTGGAATAGCAACAAGGGGAGTTATGAAGACAGGCAACCGTTAGGTGTGGTTCTCAATCATCTTCGGCTGTTAAAACAATTCAAATATCACACACCGTGACAGTCGAGAGAGTGAGACCTAAGATCTAAACAAGAACCAAAAACAGCAGGGTGATCGGTAAACTCAGGGGCAGCCTTTCCCGGCCGCCTCCTCTTTAGGAACAGACGGTGCCGGGGGCGGGGGGCTGGCCAGTCTCGCCGGTCTCGGGCGCACATTCCGACACCGTGCGTGTGCGTCGCGTCGCGGCCGCCCGTGGCGTCTCAGATGCGATGCTGCTTGGCTGCGCCCTGGCTCTGACCCGCCCGTTGTGACCTGCAGGCCCCCCACCACATCCCTGACACCGAGGGCGCGAGGAGCGGGCCCCTGTCTCGGGGCCCAGCGCCCACGCCCCACCGACCCTGTCGCGGGCGTCACGGGCTCCCACGGCTCCGCGCCGACAGAGGGGCCCAGAGACGGACGTCCCCCTCATTCCTCTGCGGACGGGGGCCGGGCTTCCTCGGGTGCCCTCTCCACGGGCCGGGAGCCCGAGGGCCTCGGGTCAGAGCCACGCAAGGCAGGGTTTACGTCACCACCACACGCTCACTCCCGCGCACGGCAGCCCAGGGCCACTTCCCCTCAGGCACGCGTCACGTCTCAAGTGGCTGACAGCAGGGCCCAGGAGCCACTGCAGAGGTGACACTGGACTCCGTCACTGGCCAAGAACTGCGGCACCTCCGTGGGCACTAAGCTTGTTTGTCCCCAGGACCTCACTGTTTCCAGGGAAACGCCACCACCAACTTTCAAAGCAGAAGAGCTGCCAGGTGGCTGCAGGGGACCAGGCCCAGGGGCCGCGGTGGGCTGGGCAGCGAGCGCAGGGGCTGCGTGGAGGCGGCCTTAGCGTCTCGGAGAAAGACACAATCCCGAGCGCAGCGTTTGAAAAGTTACAAGGAAGCGGGGCACAAGCGCAGCGAGGGACTGCGAGGGCGACACTCCTTTCTGAAACACTCCACGTGGTGCACGCCCGGCGTGAATGAAAACTCTTCGTAAGATAAGAACTGAAACATACACTTTTTAATGGTTTAATACTTTTTCAAACATTTAAAACATTTTTTAAAGATTTTATTTTAGAGAGAGGGGGAGGGAGGGAGAAAAAGAAAGAAAAAAAAACATCCCTGTGCGGTTGCTGCTCACGCGCCCCCTGCTGGGGACCTGGTCCCCGACCCAGGCCTGGGGCCTGACTGGGAACCGAACTGGTGACCCCTCGGTGCGCAGGCCAGCGCTCGGTCCACTGAGCCCCGCCGGCCAGGGCGCAAACGTTTAATCCTTTGTAAGGGCATTTCACTTTGTGCATTTATATACGGTGAACTTAACCTAATTGCAAGCAAATTTCAATGGTTATTTCGGTAGTTCAACTAAGAAAATAATATCATATGTGGTCAAATTGCACAACAAAACCTAAGAACCAGGCCACAGTAGTGTGAATACTGAATGATGCAACCACATTTATGAAAATGGACACAAAGAAATTGGCCAAGTCGAATGATTACATAAAAGTTGAGCTAAATACTTTCAAAAGCGTCCACAGAAATGCAAGTTCACGGAGAAGGGAACGGGCCACCCGCGGCCGCCTCTGCTTACGTGGGCCTCCGAGCTGCACGGGTCCGGTCGGGACGGCCCACTGTGCATGCGGAGCCGCGCACATTCTTCAAGTGTTTATAATTAATCATCTGATTTACTTCCCCAGAAACATCTCAGGAATGCCTTTCTGGCTGTGGGAGGGTCTTTCCAAAGACTGGCAACGCTGACCAACTCAGTCACCCGAAAGGAACCAGCCCAGAAAAGACGAGGGTGCAGCCCGTGTGCTCCGGGGGCCCCATGGGCACGAACCCGCGCCCTCCTGTCCCGGACGGCGAGGCTGCGGAGCCCACGGCCTGCCTCCTCCCGCCCCAGCGCCACGGCAAGGGTCCCCTTCCAGGGTCCAAACAGAAGGCCCCGAGCAGGGAGCCAGCGAGCTCCGTCTGCGCCCCAGGAAGCAGCCCAGGAAGTGTCAACGAGGTGCGCGGGGCGCTCCCGAGTGAGAAGCACCTGCGGGCGAGGGCCGGCGCCCCCTGCAGGGGTCCCTGTTCACCCCATCACGGCAGGACGCATCCGGTCCCCCCCGACCGGTGGCCCTGCTCAGCCGCTCCCGGTCCCCAGGAAGCCCAGCCCCAGGTGGCCCTGACTTTACAAACTCAGAGACAAGGATGCGAATGTTTCATCAGAAACTGCTGTTGGAACAGTGGAGGGGAGTCAAGGGCCGCGCTCCGGAGCGCGGGGGCGACGCCTGCGTAAACCGGGCAGCTCAGGTCCAGAGGCCGGGAGCTGAGCCTGCTCCACGGCTGGACCATCTGCCAGCAGTCGGCAAGGCCGGGGCGTCTGTGGGCGCCGAGGGGGCCGGGGCGGGCGCAGCTTGTCCTGGGCGGGGCTCCCTCAGAGGCGGCGCAGCAGCCAGCCCGTCTGCACACTGCGCCCCGACCACGGCTGGGTCCGCTGGGCACCTGCTGCTGGACTCGAGGCGTCACACGCAGCCGCGGGGGGCCGAGAAAAGCACCCCCGCTCCCCGTGACCCCCATGCGGGGTGGAGGCCAGCTCTCTGTCCACAGGGCCATGGCACCGGGAGCCAAAGGAATTGGCGGAGGCTGCGCCCGGAGAGCCTGCACCCCATGCTGGTGCATTCGGGGGACAAAGGCCCTCCAGCTGCGCCCAGCTGCTCTGGAGACGAAGGCCTTTATGCAGGTCTCCAAGGAGATGACTCAGATGCTGTTACCATAGAGACCGTTGCTACCATCCATTGTCCACCACCCCTTGGTGGAAGGCGGAGGGGTGCGGGGGGCAAGGGAGGAAGAAACTGGAAGACTTGGAGTTAAGTCAAGATGGAAAGAACGCGCGGAGGTTTGTCCCCTAGGGCCTCCGTGGTGGATGTGACAAGACCTCCGCCCCCCACAGCAGAGGGACCGGGCGCGCAGTGTGAGGGTTTGCCGTTGTTTGTGTCGGTGGGACTCGGTGGGCCCAGTGGCACACGCAATGGCCTCGCCCGCCTGCCTGGGCCCCAGGCTCGGCAGAGGACCACGTAGGTTTGCAGGTCTCAGCACCGCCCTGGCCACAGCGCGGCGGCAGGATCGCGGGAAACCGGTGCACGCCGTCTGCCCCTCCCCACTGCGGACCCCCTCAGGTGGGAGGGGCGGCAAAGCCCTTCTGTGGTCCACGCCGGCCTCGCAGGACCCGCCGCCAGCAGCGTCGCTCCGAACCCAGCGAGAGCCGCGGAGGGGCAACGGCAAAGGCCTCAAAGCAGGTCCCGGCGGACACGCGGGCTCCCGGCCAGGAGGTCCGAAGGGATGAAGGTCCCCCGACCCTTGTGAGCTTGGCTGCAGCACGTTCCCGGGAAACGACTTGAGAGGGTCAAGAGCCGGGGAGAGGGATCCCAGCCAGAAGCCACTGTTCTCGGGCCCCTTGACCACAAACGCTCGGGCACCCTAACCCTGCACACGCCGCCGCCGCCACCTGGACAACTGCCGCCCTGACAGCGGGACGGCGCCTTTCCTGGCGGCGGGAACACCCGTCACCGAGCCCAGGCGCCTGAGGGGCGTGAGCTCCCCACCCCGGCTCGCGCCTCGAGCTGCC